GGTCACTTAATATATCACAGGATGGCATCTGGAATTAACCCACTTCCCCTGTGCCCTCACTCAACTCCTACGAACAGATCAAACGATGGAAAATGAGTCAGCCGACTTGGTGATGAAAGATTACTTTTCTGTGCAGCGGACGAGGTGCAAGAAACGTTGGCGGGGGGATGTTTCCCATTCTAAGCTTCACAATTGCCCAACTTCTGGTTCATCTATGGCTGTAGTGCCATTGCCATGTCAGTCTTCTCTGCAGAGACGCTCCCGACGTGCAGTGACACGGAAATCCAGTAGAGTGCAGCAATCATTTGAAAATCCTCATTTTGTGGTAGAATTGCCCGAGTCAAGTGCAGAGAAAAAGCAGCAACAAAAACCACCATGCTAACCACGATGGAATTGGCAGCCAAAGCAGAAACCAGCTCCATGCCAGCAAGGGATGTAACAGCACAAGATTAGAGAAAGCATGGCTGTCACAAGGTCCTCGGCTGACTCGGCAAACCCAGACCTACCACATATCACAACTTGTAGTGCGACAGTTCTCGGTACCCAGGTACCAACTACCTCAACACAGGATGCACTGACCTTAGATGGCCCAATTTTAAATTCCCAAACCCTGGCTGGCCTGACCTCATACACCAAAACCAACAGTTCCCTGGCTGTCCCGAGGCAAGATATCCTGACCTTAGATTATAATTATTCAATCTAGAGTATCCCAAATGGCAGATACCCTACCACAGGTTTCCCTGACCTTAGCTGCCCTTCGCAGGATGCCCCAAACACAGCTGCCCCAGCCACTGTAATCCCATTCACCACTAACCCAGATTCCACATCCCTCTTCTCACTATCTCGAGATGCGTCATGTGCGGAGAAGGCTACGTTGTGTCCAGGTTGCTGGGCAGGTGCTGGGCATCACGGCGCAAGCCACTTGGCCATGAGATCTGAGCATTGGTGTAATGTGGTTGGCATGTTCCCTGATCTATGGATTTGAATGGTGCCGCCCCCCTCCCCCGTCCAGTTTTGTAGCCCGGCACCTGGGCCCCTTCGGCCCTTGAGCGCAGGTGCACTGCCTGCACACTCAATGGGCATGAGGTAGAAAATGAAGAGAACAATGAATTCAACTGTTATTAATATGGATACAATTTACCAAATGAAATGTTATAAATGAATTGTATAAATTAACATGTATGCATTTATTTTTGGAATGTGATAGCTGATTTTAATGTAGGAAATTAAAAAAATATTTTTAGAGAATGCTTTATATCTCCAAAGTAAATTAATTTCATTAAAGTATTTTTTACTGTAACCTGGGATGTCATTCACGGTGACAAAAATTGGCATTCTTACTGCACTGTAGCCTTTTTCCTCAGTTCTCATACATCCGCACTTTTTATTTTACCTTTATCCACAACTTCAATTGTAAAAGGTAACAAGTTAAAGGTTAAGATTGGAAGGGTCTGATAGTTGTCAGATGGCGATACCAATTGAATTGATTTCTGCAGATAGCTGCATTGCAGTATTTAAAAATGCTTAACTTTTTAATGAAATTGAAATCTTACTATGAAATTCAGTATGTGTAGATAAAACGTTTTATCACAGGCTGGTGCCATGGTGATATAGGGATAACTAAAGTGATATGTTTTAGTACGTTTCACGTCTTGTTCTATACTTATAAATGTTGACCATTCCTAATATAAATGTGACCTGTATGACATATACACCTCGGGGCAATCCATTCAGTACGTACAAAAAAATCTGTGAAAACTTGACCCATCCCTCCCTGTACGGACGTGTACTTTTTACACCCCCCCCCCCCACCTGCGTACGTACGCCTGACGCACCCCACCCCCCCCGAATCCTATAGAACGGCCGATATTTAATCCACGCAGAAACGATCTAGGATTAATAACGTGTTTAAGCAAACAGTCCACCACCGGACTATCCAACTCATTTGAAGACCAATGTAGACATCGAGGCTTAACCCCCCCCCCCCGTTTCCGATGCGTACATTGTCAGGAGACCCCCCCATACGCAAGCGTACGCATTTGGCTTAACCCCCCTCCATATGTACTAAATGGATGGCTCCCTACCACATGCAATTAATTATAATTTTATTTGGGTAGGTTCAGGCTTGTGTGTTTAAGTGTATAATTATAGTAATAATTATGAACAGCCCTTTCTCAGTCCATTGCTGAATAAGTGCCCCCTCATTCTGTCAGTCCTGGGGGTTGTTTGACCATACTTTAAATCACTCACTTTTGATATTAGTTGTTGGAATTAAACTCCAATTGCTGAGTTCATTGTGAAGTAAGAAAACCACCATTGCCCTCTCCCCTCCCCACCTACGAGTGTGTATAGAAGCAACAATGAGCTGTTTCCGACAAGCTTTTAATTGTATTTTTGCTTAAATTATAATGACAGTACAATTGTATTGTATCTTATTACAGAAGGAGCATGATTAGGACTATTAGTTTTGTACTTTTGTGACTTAATGATTAAGCTCTGATACTATTTGCTATTATTTATCTGTACTCGGATTGAATTGTTTTGGAATTTACAAACTGTAAACGAGGATAAATATGCATACCATACTCTTTGGTTCTATTCGGTAAAATCACGTAGGTAAAAAACTAATTAAAAATAAAAGAAGAAACAATAAACACGACGTTTCGGAGGCAACGCAAGCTTCCTTCATCAGGTGGGACCAGTCACAGCCAAATTCACTGCACCAAGTGGCGAGGCTCTGGGAACCCAGCGCTTAAATACAGGTCAAGGTAGGGGGGGGTGTGGGAGGGGCCATGTGGGGGGACTTCAGTGGGGTGCGGAGGGATGGGTCGCTGTGTGTGTGCAGGGATGAGTTAATCCGTCTTTTGTTGTGTGTAGGGTGAGGGAGATGGGTCACTGTGTGTGTACAATATTAACGGAGTTAATCCTTTTGTTGCGTAGAGGGAGCGGGGGATGGGTCGTTGTGTGTGTGCAGGGATGAGTTAATCCGTCTTTTGTTGTGTGTAGGGAGAGGGAGATGGGTCACTGTGTGTGTGCAATATAAACGGAGTTAATCCTTTTGTTGCGTAGAGCGAGGGATGAGTTATTAACTCATCCCTGCACACACACAACGACCCATCCCCCGCTCCCTCTACGCAACAAAAGAAGGATTAACTCCGTTTATATTGCACACACACAGTGACCCATCTCCCTCTCCCTACACACAACAAAAGACGGATTAACTCATCCCTGCACACACACAGCGACCCATCCCTCCGCACCCCACTGAAGTCCCCCTACATGGCCCCTCCCACACCCCCCCCCCCCCCACCTTGATCTGTATTTAAGCGCTGGGTTCCCAGAGCCTCGCCACTTGGTGCAGTGATTTTGGCTGTGACTGGTCCCACCTGATGAAGGAAGCTTGCGTTGCCTCCGAAACGTCGTGTTTCTTTTTAATTTGTTTTTTACCTACGTGACTTTACCGAATAGAACCAAAGAGTATGAATTCTTGCAGTCACGAAAGCTTCAAATCTAGAATATGCATACCATGTTGTGAAAGCATGCAATGGGATTTCTCAGGCATGTCACTGGTATTTTTTTCCAAAATAGAGCTACATATACGAGAACACCGTTGTGCACTTTTCATCGTTTCTGTTAATTATGTTGTATGGAATTTAATTTGGAACATTCATACAATTGAATATATACAATATATAGGAAGTCACAACATGCTGTATGAATTGTCTGTCAAATCCTATATTTCACAAGTTTATGGATTTTGATTTAGTATTGCATGAACACATTTCACATTACATCTTGACCAAATCTGTTTTGCATTTCCCAAAACCTGTTTGACCTTTCTGGATACCACTGACGAATGTGGTACATCGTAGTCTGTATAGTGAGGACTCATTTAAATACTTAGGCAATCGCACATCATACAGCAAGTCACTGATCTTCAATGAACCACGTATGAGTCCATTTAGAAGGAATCTGTACTTGGATAGGTACAATAAAATGTGTTTTTGTGCGCAGTATTTCCTTTTCATAAAAAGTAACTTGCAGGCTAACTTTGAGGTTCAAATCCAAATGCATGGCCAAATAACTTAATATTCATATCGTTTGAGCCAATGCATCATGCAGTGTGTGCATGTGTATTCAGTGGTGAGCCACAGCTATTTTATTTGCTAGAATTGTTCTTTGCATTATTAACAAAATAAGTGTTGTGTAGTATACATATAGATATATGCAGAAACTACGTCTCCTTATACAGTACTGTATGTCTGTAAAAAAAGAGGACTTACACAACCCATATGTCAAACTGCTTCTTGGAGTGTATAATAAATATTGCCCATCTATTTCGTTATTTAAGAGGCTGCCACCTCCTTTGCAATATGAAACTATGAAATTGAGATTGCGTTGCAAAGAAGATGGTGGCATGTTTGTAAAGCCTAGTGCTTCGAACATTATATATAGTACATTTAATTAGAGTAATTTGTCTATGCAGATGCCGCTGCAGTAATACTGCACAATGAGAGGAATTTGCCATTGCAGAAAGCAATCCTGAAATCCGTTTTTTTGCGCATTTCAGGATCAAACCTGTGGATTATGGGAGAAGTTGGAATGCACGGGAAATCTGTAATTTACAGGCGTTCGCGGATTATTGGTGCGTGGATTTTTGGAGTTATTTACCATTAAATTGTAAAAATTTCCATTTCACAAAATATGATGTAATAAGGACATAAGTGCTAAATTGTTACATGTCATGTTATTGCACTCCTGTCTATTTATTAAAACCTTTCCACATGTATTTCAGTAATTAAAATTATAATGCAGAAATGTACCTAGAATGTGCCTTTAGTTGGGGTTATTACCTTCCTGTACTGCTGCAACTGGTGAAGTTTCGTCATTGGGGTGGTGACATGGCCGAGCAGTAATGCGTATGCTGCGTAATGCAGAGGTTCAGTTTGAATTCAGCCGTGTAATAAGTGTAAAGAAGCTCCTTGGAGACATTCATTTTTGTACAAGTAGAGCCCCGATCACGGGCCTCGTTCCCCCTTAAATACTTGCTCGGCCCCACACCTATCGGACAGTAGGCCCCCTCGCGGTGTCGCTGTTCGTCAACCTTCACCGCCGCCTCGACCACCCTTAGACGCCGCGAGCTCGACAGCCTGCCGACTGTACTTGCTAGGTAGTGCCGTCAGAAGAGACGGATGTCTGACGGATGTTTGAATAGCGTGTAAGCACGTAGGACGTCTCTAGTTTCTTGACGTGTAGAATAAAGGTGCCTTCACAGCCCTGAGTAATTCACTACACATGGATAAGGATCAAAGTTACAAATCAGCACTAAAGATGTACGATGCGAAGGGAGGAAACAAGGTTCCAAAATGTTTGTGCTGCAACGGAAAAGGCTTTGTCACCGATTCAATTATCCTTCTTGGGGTAGTTAAAAGCAATTAGACGGACGTGTTAGGTTTCTTGAGTTTTAGTTGTAAATGTGTTTTTATTGCGCAATGCACGACACAACTGTTACCCCGTCCCATTGGTCGCCTTGAGAATTGCGCGGCCATCTTACGTGGGGTCAGCCCCTCATTAAGATGGCCGCCGGGAGGTGGGGGGTGTGACGGAAGTGACGTAGGCAGGGAGGTTGTTGTGCTCGGAGTCTGGAAACTCAACGCCGCTCGCCTTCCCCTCGGACGCGAAAACCGCGTACAGTGCCTCCCCACTCCACTGCTGGATGAGCACCAGAGCCTCGGTGAAAGGGCATTGTTAGAGCGCGACGAGGAGGGTGAGCGCGAACTGCACTCGGGTAAGAGGGGGGGGGAAGGCCACGGGGACCAACAGTACCATGACACCACTACGACGACTACGATAACACGCGGCACGGCTGGAGCGCTCGTGTCACAGCAGCCCTCGTGTCACAGCAGCCCTCACTCCACTGGTGGGTGAAGGACTCTCCACGCCGTGTGGATCCGCAGCGGTTTGGCCAGATTTCACAATACGCGTGGCACAATGACGCAGCTCGGAAGGTAAATGCTATCCCCGTAGAATGGTGAGGGGCAGCTCCACCCCCACCATAGGAATGGTGAATATCCATCCCGAGCTGGGGGCTGTAAACAAGAGACGGGGGGCACCGCCTCAATGCTCATTTCAGGGGGGAAACGACGCTGACTTGTGACGGTAAACGGTTAATAACAGTTTAAGTATAGCTCTATGATCATGCTGGATAATTGTAATTACTGTACTTATGACAGCGTATCGCGATAACAGCAACATCTGTAAGCTTGTAAAGCGATTATTGTAAAATGATTGCTATGACAGTATCGGTATAATGCCAGTACAACGATAGTACACGTGTAGTGTGTATCACAGTATCTCTACAGTACAATGATACACTTTATGTATAAATATTGCGCCTCTTACCGAATTTCTCGGATTGCAGCCGAATCTCAGAAGCGAAGAAGGCTTTGATTCGGGGAAGTCCTTGGGTCGGTGACCCACCATGTGGTCGGCGTCTTAGGCTGAGGTTACGTTGTGGGCAGCAGGTAGTGCAGAAAAATATATAGCTGGATGCTCCGTGGGTTCGTCACCTCTACCAACCAACACCGACTGGTGTGAAGTGTCGTGTCGGCCCAGATGGTGGAGTCGATCTTGTGGAGACCACCATCTCTCGCTCACACTCCGTTTAAACAAATATTCAGACATTTTTCTGAATTTAGCACACCCCACATTGCCTCTCATGCACACCCAGTTGCCGAGGTTTTGGCTCTGGTCGTTCGTACAAGCCAGATTATTCACTCGGTTGCGCGCTCGCACAAATGCACCTCCAACAACAACAAGGCAGATGTGCTCATCTTGTCTCAGGAATGGTTGTGCACGCCCGCCCGTATGTACTCTGGGCGCTTTTGTTCCGCGTTGCAATTCCGTTCAGCTAAAACCAGCTGGAGCTGGGTTTAATTAAAACACGTGAAAGAGTGTCTTCTCATCCAATGAAAGCAACGTTATGAATTGAAATACGTGTGCAAGATGCTTTCCGGCGCCCAATTAGTATACTGCGAGGCTGTGATTGGCAGGCTCCAAGCGGGCCCATAATTGGACCACTGACCATCTCAGTACAGGTTTTCGAATCCTGAAGAAAACCGCGACTAGCCCGGCTCCACACCTTTATTTGCTCGAGACATTGTGGGGCAGTACGTTGCTCCCCCCCCCTTCCTTGAAGGGCCCTGACGTGCGGTTCCCTAAAAACTCCACACATTAATGAACATGCACGATGATTTTCCCTGTGGTTTTGTGTGCAGGACAGCATTAATGATTCAAACTTCGCGGCTGTCTGTCTTGGTACCACACAGGGCCCAACCGGCCTGGCTGGCACGATGGCCAGCCCGGAGGCGATGGCACTGCGGGAGTGCGGCCCGCTGTACGCCGTAACGAACGCACTGCCCACTCGGGTGTCCCGTGGTCTGCGCTCCGTGCCGCTCCGCCTCACTGTGCTGGACGCCAGCAGCGAGTACCTGGCGCTGGGCACCAACGTGGGGCAGGTCTTCCTCTACTGCCGGCGACGGCACCGCTTGCAGAAGCTCGATGTGCGTCCCACTGCACATACCGCTGGAACGTGAACGACACTGACTGCCACTTTAACCAAATCTGTAAATGATGAGAAAATCCCATCATAACAGAATAATATTGAGTTCAGAGGATGAAGCAGGTCCACAGTTTCACTACTGATATGAATTGGTCACAGCTCACATTTATTGTGATGGTGGCCTAAGACAAGAGGACCAAAATGCACTTATTCATTGTTTTTATTGGTAAAGTCACGTATGTAGAAATACAATAAAATTATATTAAAACAAAAAAACAATCACGACGTTTCGATCACAACGCAAGCGATCTTCATCAGGTGTCAAGAACAAATCACGGAGGTAAATACAACAAAAAGATGAGAGACGAGAATTCAACAAACCTGAAAAAAACATGTGAAGCACATCCAGTCAGGCCAACAACACAGACACTTCCTGGCGGACCACGAATTTCAGAAGAGTGTTAAATTTCGTGTTCAACCTTTGAATTGCACATACCAGCATAGATAAAATGAAAAATACGAGGTACACGGTCAGTAGAAATACATATACAAGTCCACCAAGAGGTAAGGAGGGAGGAAAGATGGACAGGGAGGCAGAGAGAGGGGGGGTGCGGAGGGATGAACAGAAGCTTAAATAGGAAATACGGTTGGACGGGGGGGAGGGGCCAGAGCGAGAGCGGCAGCTCAAACACGCACATCTTACATAAAACGGCAGCTCAAAAAAAGACCACCTCTTGTAAATGAAGATCGCTTGCGTTGTGATCGAAACGTCATGATTGTTTTTTTTTGTTTTAATATAATTTTGTTGTATTTCTACATACGTGACTTTACCGAAAAAAAACAATGAGTAATTTTATGCAGCCACGAAAGCTTTAATACTTCAAAATGCACTTCTTCAGGTGTTTGAGTATTACAAATGTTGTGTGCCAGATTAGTACATGGCGTGGCTTTCGTGTGTGATAATCCTGGCTTTTCACGAGCTGTAGATCTAATAGACACAGCAAGTGCTCTTGGCAAGTTGAAATAGCTCACCAAGTTATATAAATGTATACCTGTCTTTGTAATGTTAGTGTGTAGTATTTTATCCTTCGGTTTACTGCAGAAACTCCAGTTTCCTCCCACATGCAAACATCATCAGGTAGGAGTTGGCCAAACATGAACGCAGGACCCTCCTGAAAATATCTTGATTTACTCGGTGAGGATTTTGATGGCTATACAAAACATTTAAATTGATAAACATGTTATAAATAAGTTAAGTTTTTAATAAAGTCCAATCCATAATGAAAGGTTTAATTACAATTGTTATTTTCATTCTCAAATCGATTATTTGTTTGAAAGTGAAGATTTCAGTCTGTAAAATACTGTCATTGCTATGGATAAGGGCAGTAGTCGTCAATTGTGGTGTGCGTGCGTCTCTTGCAGGTGAAGTATGATCCCATCACAGCCGTGAGGCTGCTCACCTGCCTGGATGACCTGGTTGCTGTGGGAACTGCAACTGGCCGGGTGGTTTTGTTTCAGCTCGCTTCTCTGCTCCCTGGACGCAACAAACAGGTTTGAGTCTGGCACTGGGAAGGAGTTAACTCGTGTGGAGAGCACAGCTGGGCCAGAACGAACCTTGTCTTATAGTTGGAAGACAACCCCCATTCTTATTTAATTAATTTTTCACAAAATTAGGCTGTAGCGATAAGAGGTTAAGATAGTATTTAAAAATAAAACCATTGAGTTGGCCTAGTGGTTTTAATCAGGAGCCAGCACTGCTTAAATAATGGGTTAAAATTGTTATCCATAAATAAACAAGATTTTTCATTCTAGCCTCTTGATGGTATCATACAGTCACCAATGACTGCATCAAAAACTTTTCTGCATAAAATGTCACATTTGTTATTTGCCATACAGTTTTGAGGACAAATCTATAAAATAAATTGATTGGAAATGTTATCATCACACATTTACATCTTTGCCCACACGTCTACTTGCGCGTGTGTTATTGTACGTGTTTGTGCCTGTGTTGATGCATTCACTTGCAATATAATTAGATTCAGTGTATTTGCATTCTTGTAAGTTTGGACAGGTTATGGATGTGTGTGCTTCGCCTACATTATTAGCTGCGTGGCAGATAGCTCACTAAATCCCTTCGATTGATTTCTGGCCATGCCAGCTGTTTTCAGTTTCATTTATTAGGTGTAGCCCTGTGAGCCATGAGGTTCTTGACTCGGGTGCAACCGCAACAAACAAAAACATGAACAAGGAACATCTTAAAGTGACTACGCGCAACAGAGAAATCCAGGAAAAAACAGCAAAGTCTTCCAGAAAAAACACCTTATATCAACTCTGTGTGCAAAAATCCTAGTGGGATGCAAGTCAAAAATAACAACCATAAGACAACTTCTTTGGTTCTTTCGGTAAAGTCACGTAGAATGAGAATAAAATAATAAATTGATAAAATAAAATAACACAATAATATTCTCACGACGTTTCGGCCACAACACAAGCGGCCTTCATCAGGTGAAGGGACGAGACTGTCTGGTAGGACAGCGCTGTCCTACCAGACAGTCTCATTCTACGTGACTTTACCGAAAGAACCAAAGAAGATGAATCATTGCAGTCACGAAAGCTTTAAATCGAAACCATAAGACAATTTAGATAAAGTTATCAGGCTAACTCTGTACCTCATCAAACAAACATGGCTAAACCATACGTTTTCGAAATCACCAAAATAAAGTTATAAAAACAATGTAACAGTGATCATTGGAACTGTTATTCAAATTTAACAATAAACGATATACATAACATGTACGACCAAACTTTGCAGCCATTGCTGGCAGCATGAGTCACTCCATATCAGCAGGAGTATCAAAATTTTTCATTGCACCTTTAAAGATCAGCACACTATAATAAAAAAACTCAAGATTATACTTTGCAGCGGTCATCCGGAGCAATGTTTTTTTTTTATTTCAGGCCACTCTGCATAGCAGTGGCAGCTAGGGGTGTACAGCTCCTCAAGAGCAGTTTTGAGTTAAGATCTCACAGGTAGTGATTCAAGTTGCAGTTTATTGGCGTAGCATTCCAGACCCTGGGAAGTCACGCTTAAGTTAATTTAGCTGAAAATATTGGCATCCAGTGCTGTGTCAACACAAATGTATGTCTATGTCAACACAGTTGTTCTGCTGTCCCTATTTTCTTCATGCATGTGCATGTGTGCATATTTATATGTTTGTGTATTGGAGTGGTAGTGTAGATCTCCCAAGCAAAATGCTGAGGGAGGGTGGCATCTGTGTGCAGACTGCCCTACATGACATCATCACAACTGTCTGTCTGGACCACAGGACGGGTTCTGCAGGATTGGAAGGATGCCCTAGTGGTTCCCCTCTTTATGAGGAGGGACTGCACAGATTGTAACACCTATAGGGGGACCTGTCTTCTCAGTGTGCCGGGAAAGGTCCTGGCAAGGATTATTCAACTTTGTCTTGCCAGGCACGCTGAGGAAAGGCTTCCAGAGCCCCAATGTGTTTCAGACCAGGGCGGTCCTGCGTGGACTCCTGGCCTGGCACAGGTGCTGTGGTGACGTCACCGTCACTTAGTGGCGAATGGTGGGTATTGGATTGGTAGTGTAAAGGTTAGCGTGCTACGCTGCGAACCTGATGACCCGGGTTCGATTCCCGCTCACGGCCAACACCAGTGACGATTATCTGAACTGGTCCTGGGCCTCCCCTAGGTTGACTTGGCCTCAAATGAGTACCTGGTGCAGTGTGTAAACATTGCTACTCGGGGGATAAAGGCGGTTGGGCGTGGTGCTGCCCACCCCCTCGAGTGTCGTCCCGGCCTTCATAGGTGCTCGGCAACAGCACTTGTTCCTACAGTCTTTGTGTGTCTGTTGGTATAGCTGCACGCATAAGTTTGTTGTTGTTTACGCTGTCCTGGTCCTTGTGCCACGAAGCTGCACAGGTTCGAGGTGGCGGGCCAGCACTCTGTGTCTGTCGTGGCGCTAGCTTGGAGCACCAATGGCATGAAGCTGTTCTCGGGCGATGAGCGTGGCAAGGTCGTCTGCACCAGCATCGACTTTGAGCTTGTGAGTAGCAGCTGCTAACATGAGCCCTGGGCTCAATGGCGACATACACACAAAATAAATACACCACAGAGCAGAATATTCAAAACTGCAAAACAGAAGTGTGTTGTGGGAGTTGGTGATACCGTGGCATTTCAGTCATCGAGAATCTACGGAGAGAAAAACAAACTCATTGAGAAAAGGTTAGTTGCTTAAGGATAATGAAAAAAGCTCATTATGTTTTGGAATGAGCGAAGTCAAAATTATTGTGGAGAGAGTTTAAAATAGATAAACAAAACAGGACCTTGCCTGTAACATCTCACAGTTCACCGGCATTACAGCATTCGTGACCCTGTTGGTGAGATAGTGCATGTCAAAACTGGTCCAGAGTTTTTAAAATCAATGGTGCTGAAATTATGTACTCCGAGAAGGCTGTGTGGCTGATGGTTGTGTGAGAAATACCTTTTATTTTTGAGGTGGAGAGGCAGATGTATGAAATAAATATTGCCTGCTTTTCTATTTTGAACACTGAAAGCAAATGTTAGGGCTCGCATTCTCTCCATCACTTCCTTCCCCACCTCCCCCTCATGGCTGACAGGGCGTGTGCAACTCGTTTCTGGTGCACGAGGAATGCAGCGGGGTGGTGCAGCTCGACTATGCCCAGCGCACGCTGCTTGTCTCCACTGGCCAGCGCTCCGTGCTGTGCTTCCCCGAGACAGGACAAGCCACGCGGCAGGTCGGGACCAAGCCGCGCAAGTGGTGAGGGGCCCCTCCGAGCCATGGCTAGGTTTGCCATGGGTTTGGCGATGTTGCCACGAGTTCCACAACGTAAGATACACACGACAAATGTATCAATTGACTTTCTGCAGTATAGCTGCATTTATGATGAAAATAATGAACGAGAAAATTGCCCAATTCGAAGTCACTAGCTCTTTAAAGTCTCCACCAGCTGTGGCTTCTTTTGTTGATGTTGTGGTTCATTGTGTTGTAATGTGAGCCAGAGAGAATCACAACATCTGTTAAATGCCTCCCTTAGCTAAATAGGACATTAAATAAACTCTTGGGAGTACACAGTAACCCGACGTAATTACAGTGCAGAGTAATGTGGAGCTGCCACTTTGTTGTGGCATGTGCCTGTGCCAGCACGGAGCCACTTGGTGCGTGCTTCATCCCAGGCCTGTGCAAGCCGGCCGACCTGACGCTGCATGCCGCGCGGCCCGGCCTGCGTCTCTGGCGCGCTGACATGGCCGGCGCCGTGAAGGCCACATACATCTTCCGTGACGTGCTGGCGCTGGACCCACGGCCCGTGCAGCTGACGGCGCGGCCCACGGTGGCGGCAGGTGGTGGCGGCGGTGCAGGGGAGCGTGCCTTCGGGCTTCTGCGGCCCTTCCTGCCCACGCAGGGCCTTCTGATGTCATGGAGCCCCAGTGGCCTGTATGTGTTGGACCCCACCAAGCAGGTAGCGGCAGTGTATAGTCCTACACGGCTTGGTAGCACCCACGGGCACTCCAGTTGGGTATATACCCACCAGGTGTCACCAGGCCATGCAGAGAGCCATTTCTCAGTACCGTGGGCCTCTGGGATCTCTCGTTAGTCCAGAGCCTCGCCCCCTTTTAGAGGTACAGGTGGACGTGGGACGGCCTTGCAAACATTTGAAAGGAATGGTTCCTTAGTTGCAGTCGTTGCTGGTGCGGCTGTCGTTATCTACCTCTGCTGTTAGGTGTTGCTGCTTGTTCACGTTTCTGCTTCTGTTGGTGGCGTCCGTTTGTGCTGCTCATGTTTTGTGTTGTGCGTTACACCCCCCACCCGCCGCTCCCTTTCGATATCAAGGCGGTGGTGGGCAGCCTCGAGCTGGGAGCTGGGGACCTGGTGGCGGCCGCCTGCTGCAATGATGAAGTCTTCCTGCTGCTGGGCGAGCGGGAGTTGGTGCGCCTGTCGGCTCAGCTGCAGGGCACACCCGAACCAGGCAGGGCCTCCACTTCAAACATCATCAGGAGGATATTTTCACTAAAAAGTCTTAAGCATATTATCGATGATGAATGCTTTGTTTGGGTAATTTTTATCTTGTAAATCCTGGCTGAATCTAACATTGTCCATAATAAAGGTTTTTGGGTTAGATCGCGTAAGTATAAATGTGTCGAAACCCTCCACCACCCGACACAGCCAATTAGGAAGCGATTTGTCATGTAAACAAAGCGACATATAGTTACGACTTTAGCCCACTGGTGTGTTGGAGAGTAAATCCACAACATTTACAATTTGAATACTAAAATTGTAAATTTACTCAATGTGAGTGTCGGGTGGTGGAGGGTTTCGCCACATTTATACTTACGTGATCTAACCCAAGAACCTTTATTATGAATAATATTGGTCGCAAAAGTCTACGTGTTAAACTAACATTCTTTGTCCATATGTAACATGAAATTTCATAAAAATATAATAAAATAGTAAATGGCAAACTAAGACGATTTAATTGCTTTGGTTCATTGCAATGCTATGTTCACATCACTAAATATTACGTTTTTCTTCCTCGCATCCTTGGCGTGAATCAGCTGTTCCGCTGACCGAGAGAGGCGTGGGGCCGGACGTCCCAGCGGCCGGTACCCCAACCGCGCTGTCCTCGGCACCGTACGGCGGCTCCCCCATCCCCACGGCTCGCCCGGACGCCCCCCCCATCATTGCAAGCCCGAGCACCGGCCCCGACGATCGGCCCTCGGCGATGGCGACGTCTCCCGGCTCCGCGTTGGGGACCGCGTTCGCTTCCGAGCAGCGCGCGGGTGATGAAGCCGACGTCGCCGTCGAGGGAGCCACATCGACGGCTCACGCGCCCCATGCCCCCGCGCTGGACTCGGGGCTTGCGGATGGCTTGGCGGCCGAGCCCGTGTCAGAGGTTGGGTCGGGGGTGGCCGCCCAGGAGCTCTTGCCAGAGCAGAGACTGCACTCGCTGAGCCTCGGGGAGCTGGAGGAGGCGGGGAGGGTCCTGGCGGAGCCGCTCCGCAGGAGGAAGAAGAAGAGGCACGGTGAGTACCTTGTATTTATTTAGTGCGGTCGCTTTTGTCATCATAATCGGCTGTGCTCTATCCACTGCCAGATGAAGGCCTCTCTATCGCCGTCTTTCATGGTCTCGCGATGAACACAGTCCATCCGGCTCGTGCAAACGATTCATCGCGCCAAATTTTCTTTTGGCGCGATGAATGTTTCATCCACGGTTCGTGTCGACCACTAGCCTTCATCCCTTTTAGAGACAAGCCTTGCCCAAGCCCTTTTAGCATTTTAAATAATATAGAAGCAGGAGCATTTTTATATCTGTTGTCCCACCATGTGTCGCTGTCGTTATAACATAATGTATCGAGGAAGCCTCATCGAGTCTCTCGACTCTTTTTCAGGAGGGTTCTGCATTAGGATCTTCAAAGAACGTTGTGCTTGTCGGGGAAAGTCCGAGTGTGTACATGCGTATGAATAACAAATAAGGGATTGATGATGCAGTAACGGTGGTAAGACATTTTACAATATTTTTAGGGGTAAGGTTGGTTGATGATGATGGTGATGATAATGGTGATGATAATGGCGATGATGATGTTCACATGCAGAGGGGAGCGGCAGCTTGGTGGAGGACAGCTCTGCACCACTAACCCAGGAGAACCCGAGCAGCACGACTCTACCCTCAGCCCAGACTTCTGTTGCTGACGTGTCTGCGGGGGCCTGCGGAGTGCCCGACAGCGTCCCGGAAGCACCTGTAGTAGACCTTCAGTCAGATGGGAACAGCGCCTCGTCCGGTGTTAACAGTGCGGGCGCCGTGTCGGTCGCTGCCGTGCCCCAGGAGCGTGTGACTACGAAGAGCTCGTTGCCCGAAGCCGTGGGGTCCAAACCACGCACCGACGCGTGCAGAGAGGGCCACACGGGGAGGGGAGCGGCCGAGAGGCACGGCCCCATGTCACTGCATGACGAGTTACGGGAGCTTGGGGAGTGCGAGGAAACTCCTTGGACCTTGCACCTCACGGCTCTGGCGGCCGGACATTCGGAGAATATATCTGACGAGATGGCAGACGTGGATGTGTCGTCTTCGCTGCCAAAGCCAGCTGTGGACGTGAACAAAGAGTGGACCTCATTGAGCAAAGTGCCACAAGAAAACCTCGTCAAACAGCACCGTAGCGACGCTCCGTCGCCCCTGATTTTCTTCGACGAGGACAAATCGCAGACGGCGATAGCCTCCTATGACCACCGCAGATCTGACACTAAAGGCAAATTGCTGGGCGCCCCTGGCGTCGCTGCCGGTGTCAGCAGGAGCCTTGATTACCCTCGGCAACAACAGAGCCCGGGCACCGGTATCGACAAAGGCCGGTTGGGCAGCGTGACCTTGGCAGACGACGGCAGTTTGGCCTGGTTGCTGGGCGACGAGGCTCCTCCCCGGCACGACGAAGCCGCCGGGAGCGTCGCGCCGCAGGGCAGCGGCTACTTCGGGGAGACCGTCCCGGTGGCATTTCTCGTGGACGACCAGCACTGGTGGAAGAAGCTGACGGCGCATGAGGGGGGGAACGGGGAGCCTCGTTGCCAACAGGAGGAGGAAGCGCGGCGGGAGGAGGAGGCCAAGCCTGCCGCGCGGGGTGACGGCTCGGACGAGAGCGACAGCGAGGACATCTACGCGCGGTGGGCGCCTGCCTCATCATCCGACACCAGCGCGGCCGACGCGGAGGGGACTGTGCCCGGCGACGCTGAGAGCCCCGACGAGGTGGCCGGGGGAGGGTCGTCCACCTCGTCGGGCTCGGCGTGCGAAGGCCGGCAGGCGGTCGGCGGCTCCACCCCGAGCGTGCCGAGGGATGGGCAGGTGCGTGAAGCCTGCACGCCAATGCACTGCCTTGCCCCTTGCACTATATGCGGTACTGGTTGGTGTGGGGAGCTGACAATTTCTGCACATTGGGTTATGCTGCACTGCCCTCTGCTGTACTGCATTTCAATTCTACATGATGCTATAATTTGCAGTACAATACATTGCACTCCAATATAATTCCCAGCGACGTACTTTTCTACATTGTAGTGCTGTGTCACATCAGTGCCCCGCATGGCGATGGTGCAGTGACTTTGTTGGTGGCGATGGTGGCGGCTGGTAACGACGGTGCTCGTGTCGCCACCGACGCTGACGGTGGTGGCGTTGTGCCGGCAGCTGTCAGAGTGCTGGATGCGGCACGCGGGCCCGGGGTCACTGGCGGCCGGCCTGGCGGTGTCGGAGCGCCACCTGTGGTGCGTGGATGGCCGCGGTGTCCTGCACTGCGCACCCGTGGCCCCCGCGCCCGCTGGGCTGCTGTGGCAGAAATATGAGGAAGGTGTGCGCCAGGTGGCCGTGTCGCCTTCCGGTGAGCGTGCCGTCCTTTATACTCCCGTAGAGACATGAGTAGTAGGTTAATAGTGTTAGCTCACAACCCCAATTCTAACAAAGTGGTGGCGCACTGCTCTTTTCAATATATTCAAATCGAAATATCGGTATTAACTCTGCTCACACCACGTTGGCGGTGAGACTGGTTACCACAGAAACACTGTTGATTGATCACCATCATCAGAAGTTGGACGTTTGCTGTGTGGTGGCATCGTTGCTGTGCATTTCCCCCACCCGACTGTGAAGCTGACGTATGAGTGTGGTGTGCACGTGTGCGCCCGTAGGCATACTGTTGTGGAAGGTGGAGCACAAGTCTAGTAAGGCGTTTGCCGCCAGCAAGGCCACGATGCGCGGCAAGCGGCACTGGTACGAGGCCCTGACGCGCGTCTCGCACGTGGCGCTGGGAGACGACTCGGCCTGGGTCGTCAACGTTAGCGGGCACCTCTACGTGCAGACTGGTACGTTCGCGTGTGGGTGCGTATACATGTGTGGGTGCGGGTGGGGGTGCGCGGTTGTGGGTGTGGGTTTGGGTGTGTGTTTGTGTGTAGGCAGCTCGATACAATGAGCACAGGAGGGGGTACAGCTGGTGCATCTGTCAGTCATCTCAGTCAACCCATGGCACTTGGGTCTGTCCCGTGACCTGCCTCACAGTGAGCCTTCGACACTTCACGTGGACTCAATGTGCACATAACCTGGCACAGGCGCCGTGGTGACGGCACTGCCACTTCGTGGTTAATGGCGGGTATCGTTGTTGAAGTGAGCAAGTGGTGGTGCAGTGCAGTTTGTTAAGGCAATGTTCCACAAGCCCAACGATCTGAGTTTGATTCCCAGCCATGGCTAACATCAGTGGAGAGTTGTATCTGAAACACTCCGAGGCCACCCCTAATTCTACTCGGTCTTAAATGTTTACCCGGTGCAGTTAAATGTAAATATTAGCACTATGAAGCATTGTAAACATCAGCACTGGGGAGCTGATGCGGCCAGGTGTGCTGTTGGCCACATCATCCCCTTCATGTGTGCTCGCTCACAACAATTTCCCCACACCAGCGTGCACGACTACTGGAGGACATGTGTGTGTGTGTGTGTGCAGGCCTGAGTGGGGAGCGGCCATGCGCGCGCCCCGTGCAGGTGAACAACTCGCCCCCCCTGCTGCAGGTGGCGGCTCGCGCCGGCGTGGTGTGGGGCATCACGTCGCAGCCCAACACCACGCTCATGTGCCGTGAGGGAGTGAGCAGCCTGTGTCCCGAAGGCGAGCGCTGGGTCATCGAGCAAGCCTGGTAAACGGCGCGCATGCCCGCGCCTCCTCTCCCGCGCCGGGCAGCCACACCGCCCTCCACCTGCTAAACATCGCGTTGGAAGCGTCGCGGAAAATGCAACCCAAATAACAACCCGATGCTATCTCACATTGAAGTCCTGTTTGTAGCGTCTAAATGCGACCGCATCTCAAGTTGCTGTATCGAACAGTGGGACATGGGCTTATTTGTTTACTTAATGGAAAGAAAGTGACATTTATTGGCAAAGGAAAAGTGGATGGTGTTGAAGCTAGCACATGCGTTGGCAAGCAGGATATGATGAAAGCTAGTCTGTTCTGTGCAGTCTGTCATAGAGATTACTCTGAGCTGTGTGACACATGAAGGAGGCTAGTATAATGTGTGACATGTTGAAGGCTTGCCCATGCTGAGTCACGTGCAGTGCAGGCGAGCCCATGCGGAGTAGCGAGTGACAAAGAGGACCTTCTGCTGTGTTGAATGCAGTGTGCAGCAGGGCCTGGAGGTGGTATGCATCGCGCTTGGTGACGACCACACGGGATGGGTGCTTGATGCCCAGGGACGCCTGTGGTTTCGCACTGGGGTCACGTCGCAGACTCCTGCTGGGGAGGGTGACCACTGGTGGCAGGTGACGTCTCATCATCATATGATCATCGTTATTAACAGTAACATTGTGGTTATTATCAGCATTAATTGTTTTGCAGCTGTGCTGTCAGAGTTATAAAATGAGAGAAGTCATTTTCATGCAGAATTATTGTAGTCAGCAGTATCAGTGAATAGCAGCTGAAGTTGGCGTGACAGAACTACTTCTGACGTCTCTTCAATGGACCTCTAATCCAACATCTTAATATGCCATAAAAATGTGTTTGTTACATGGAAATCCAACCAAAATGTTAAATTCTCATTGCTGGAATAATCCAAATGAAGCAAAAAAATAATAATGTGATAGAGGTTTTTGTTGACTAGGCTGAAAACCATTAACTTCCGGCAGAACCCTCTAATCACAGTTCTCTGAAACGTGGATTCAAATCGTAAGTTGTATAAAGCACCATCCAAATATAACTGGAAAAGAATAGTACATCTGAATATGATTACAGAAATATTTGGTGGTTAGTATGTCAACTATTTCCCATGCAAAATGCAGTCTAAATACTTATACCTTGACTTTGCATGAAATTGTATTCCTAGTTGGCACATATGTACAGCTGATGGCCATCTCGAGCATGTATGAACAAACAACATCTTGTTTATATACCAACTTCTGGGAATTCTGTATTGCACAAATGTATCTCTAAGCCAGCATGCGTTGCTGGGCATGTTGACTCTACTTTCTACTGCAATCACTGGCGGAGCCAGGGGGGTGGGTGGGCTGGCACGTGCCCCCCCAATGATCCGATCGAAATCCCTAATTTCGATCGGATCATTGGGGTTTATTAATAAATCGGCATTTTGCAACCCCCCACTGCCAATATGTAACATATTATTATGTGCCAGGGACTCTATGAGATGATAGGATAATATGAGTTCATAATTGGCAATAAGTAACGGCAAAACAGTTATAAGCGACTCAAAGAATTGTGCGCAGTTGCGTATACAGTACACAACTTCCCTGAAGGCATACCTTCAGCGAGCGCGATGCCGATCACACACGGTTCGGATTCGACCCTCGATCGATGGCTGCGCCATCGCCGCACACGCATCGAATTACAAGTAAGTAAGGACAAGTCCTTACTAACTAACTAACAACTCCTATAAATTTTTCATTGCTGGAGGGGTTGCCCCCCCTCACCTGAAAATCCTGGCTCCATTATTGACTGCAATGGTCCCTACTTGTTGTCCGCATGCCACTCTTGGGCTGCACGGCCTTGGGAAGTAGTCGGTGGAACTGTTGTGTTTTTTTCACAAGACACCACATGTTCTTTACTGCATGGCGGTCCTTAAACTTGTTTTGATGGTTGACACTGGAACACCAGTCCACAAAGGTTGGGAACCACTTGTCTCTTGCTTTTGCAGCAAAAGTTGGTGAATCATGTAGATTTGTGATATTACAAACGTTCTAGGCTTCAGAGAAGCCAGTAGTAAGTGGGTTTGTGAAACACCCCCTTGCGTGATCCCCCATACGAGTGCACATTCTCTGGGCACTTCAGTTCCCTTCCACGTGCAAAACACTTCCAATCGAGCCTTGAAATTCATTAAGGCTTTACTGTAAATACATTACATAATTAATAGTTGTGCAGAGAAACTTATGATTGTAGAATTACCATGATTGGCTCAAGTCTGGCAATGGAGACTTGAGTATTGAGATAATGACTCGAATTGTTACAAGGTCAAAGTTTACCTCATTTTCCTTAACATCCTCTGCCCCCATTCTCCCTCCCTCCGTCCCCCCCACGACCCCCCCTCCCCTCCCTTGTGCACAACGGGCCCCGTGGTGTTCAGGTGTGCCTGAGCGAGTACGTGCTCTGCGAGCCGCCCTCCATCCTGCAGTCTCTGACGGCGGCAGTGGCGGCGGCGGGCGTGGCGGCAGCAGCGCCCGTGGAGATGCTCGCCGAGCGCCTGCGCGCCGTGCAGCGCCTGCGCGCCCCGCTCGCTGTCGGGGCCCACCAGGCGCCACTCCTCGCCGTCGGCCGCTCCGGCGTTTGGGTGCTGTCGGGGCGCAATGAAATTCACGTGTCGCGCGGGGACCTGACGGGTAACGAACGCGCTCGTCTGCGATGTCTTGCGGACGGCGGTTGGTCGATCGAGCAGCTAGATCCGTGTTCTGATTGGCGGCTGACTCGGCCCCGTTAATGGTCATGGCATACGATGGTGGTTTACTCTTGTGAACGATGTCACAGCATCGTTCACAGTTATTGAAGCAGGGCCGTTGACGTTTGCTCTGCAGCAGGTGGAATTATTCAGGGCAAGCCGCCGTATTCATACCTTATCTCATTTATTTTGTTTACAGGCATTCATGTTTCAAAGTGGATATTTTAACCATCAACTAAATCCATCACACTACTTGGATTGATGAGCATCCCTTTATGAGACATAAAGAGGCCTTATCCTGTGCAAAACCTGGCGCCCACCTTAGAGATTAGACTCTGGAACGCCGGCTCACGGCAGGGAGGTGATGAGCACCGTCCCCATTTGAACATGGGGATGTGTGTAACTTTTTTGAAAGCACTGCATGGCTTTTACAGCCAGGCTAACACATGTTTTGTTTATACTTATCTACCATAGTGCTGTTATGTGTATTATGGGGAGTTGTGGTCCAGTGGTTAGCATCCTGCACTTGGGAGAACCCAGCGACCTGAGTTTGATTCCTGGCCCACGATCATCACCAGTGGCGAGTGATGTCTGAACCAGTCTTGGGGCTCCCCTAGGTTGTTCGAGCCCATGTGCTGTTTGGCCTTAATAGGTGCTCACCGACAGCCCTTGCTCCAGCTGTCAATGTAAGCTGCAGTGGGGATTCTTGTCTGTGTTCCCAATGTATCTGTGTACATGTATGTACGGGTGTGTGTGTGTGTCCATGTGACGGGCTCTGCAGGAGCGTACTGGGCATCTGTGGTTCCCCGGGGCACGGCCTCCACCTGCATCTGGCTCTCCGTGCTCGTCTCCCCTTGCCCTGTCGACTGTGGCCCAGGTAGCTCCCCGACCGTCCGACTCGTGTCGCACCTCCCTCCAGTGTGGGGCACCTCGCCGCAAAGGTGCAGGAATAATGACCAGACCAAAAAAACATTACTTTAATTAAAAATAGCTGACATGGGATTAGCATCGCTCTCGTTGGCAGAGTAAGTGGGCTAGTGCTGCCCCCTACTGTTTACAACGTAGGTTACCTGAAGGGATCTCGGTGATAGCTCCATGGTATCTGCTTCCATGGGCCGTTCTGCAACACGAAGGGGTGTGCTGCTCTGCGAGAGCTCTGATTGGATTATGCTAGTGACGGGCAACCGACGGCACGACTGGATTAAAACTGGACGAAAATATAACGAAAATGATTAGGAAGAGCAAAATGTAACTTAGTTATCTTTCATTCATGAGAACATTATCTTTATTCCTACTGGGAGTTGAGAAAAGCACATAATTACACAATTTCGAAATACAGTTTCACAGTTATGGGAAACCGATATCGTAACAACCATATTGTAAATCGTGATAGCATATCGTCGTGAAAAATTACATCGCGGTAGCTGTTTGTGATACCCACCCGTGGCCTCCCCCAGGCCACAGCGTGTGGGCCATGCAGAACGGCGGCGAACTCTTCATGTTCTCATTCGAGCCACCCGACGCCGGGGGGCGGCTGGAGCCCGCGGGGTGGCCCATCGTCGTGCCCCTCCCACAGCCGTCCGTGCAGCTGAGTGTGGCGCATGACGCCGTCTGGGCCCTCGACGTTGCCGGCCGCGTCTTCGTGCGCCCGCTGTCCCGCTCAGTTCCCGCTGGCGCCATCTGGTTCCCGCTAGATCTCTCGCAGCTGGGTGAGTGCGCTGCCCACGTGCGTGTGTTCTTGCCTGTGTATTTTTCTGAAGGCTTCTGTCATTCATCCATCTTATGAAGAGCAACTATTAGTTCCTTTGCCTGAGTTAGTGAATTGCAGATACACTCGCGCACTGCATTAACACGTATATTTTAGACAATGCGATGTAATACAGACCAGGGCGTGAGTTCGTAGCTGCAGTCGGATATAGGGGAGCCTTTGATGTTCTTGTAGTGTTTTGGTAAAAAGACTACTTATGTCCAATAGCATCACGATAGGTCTCTGCGTAGGTGGATGGCAACAGTGCGAGGCGTGCCAGAGGGAGCAGCACTTAACACAGTGAGCCGTTAGTTGGGAAGATGAATCCACTGCGTGTTTGCTTGTGGAATGGTCTACCTGACCATATCACTGCATTGATGAGCCTGGATCATTCAAGAACAGCCTTAATCAGGTCCACTGGTCCCCACACTCCTCTCCTTTTCTCCTTTGGCTACTACTCCATCATTCCGCTCGGTGAAACCCGCAGACTAAGACTTCACCAAAATACACATTGCATCGACTATATGAAGACTGACTATAATAAAAAATAAATGTTGACTTAAGTGCTGGCAACAAGATGAAATGTTTGTGCTGTCTGAAGAAGTGGAGTCGAAGGTGTCTAAATCTGCATGCCTTCACGTGTGTGTGTGCGTGCGTGCATACCAGGGTCCACGCGTCTGGTGAGCGTGGCATGCGGTGGCCAGAACGTGTGGGCGTGTGACGCGGCTGGCACCGTGTACTTCCGCATGGGCACACAGCCCCTCAACTCGAGCCAGATGATGCCCGCTTGGGTGGCCCTGGACAGGGACACACAGGTACGCTGGGCCTCCAGCCGTCCACACTCCCTGGTGAACCTCTGAGTGGGTGGCAGAGAGTAGTGTCCCTGAACTCCGGCCCTCACCACTCCCTGCCTACCACCATTTCACGATTACCGATCTTTTCTGTGCATATGCAAAAGACAATGCCCATTGCACGCGCCTGATGGTGGGTAATCACGCAAAGCTGTACCGTGGCGGTTCACACGGACTGGAGTTGAGAAACTGACTTCGAGCCCCAGAGCCCAATACGGGCCCAATTTTTTACTGGCTTGCTACTGGACAGGTTGGTGATTTATTGGTTAAGGTATTTTTTTTGTCTTTCTTGGTGATTTTATGCTCATTGTGCGAGTAGTGTTACCGCAGAGAAACAAGTACTTGTGCTTTTTTTATTTGGTGTCAGCAGAGCCTCGTGCGATCGCCCTGAGAGAGGCCAAATAAGACAGCCACGGCCGTATCTTGGATCGGCTTTCATCGTCACCGCCACACGGTGGCGTAGCGTCAGCCATACACTACAGACATTAGGTCCCCACAGCAGAAGCTAAATATGGAGCGAGAACAAAAACAATTGACCGCCGTGTTTTTGTGCAGTTGTTGGTTGTCAGTTCTGAGCACTGTAATAGAGAGAAACGTGAGCGTACTTGTCTTACGGTGCACCATGACGAGAGTGCTTCTGGTGGCTAGAGAGCCAAGCTATCCCCCAACCCCTTGAGATGGGTGGCTCAATGTTGGTGCCCCCGATGTTAGCGCCCCCTTCAAAAACTGTTTGGGATAAGCGAGCCTGCTTCTCCTGTGCCTTAATACACGCGATCGCTTATCTGAAGCTGCGTCTCATTTCAAGCAGCATGTATTTGTTGCAGAAGACTTTTCTGTGTTAACACCATAACTAACCATTTTGTTTTGATTTAAAGCTTTCGTGACTGCAGGGATTCATATTCTTGGTTCTTTCGGTAAAGTCAGTTAGAAGGGAAACAATAAAATAATAAAAATATAAAACAATAAAATTATCACGACGTTTCGACTGCAACACAAGCAATAATCATCAGGTGTGAAAACTACAGCAAGAAAATTTGAAAAAAGTGGCGTTTTTTTAACGTTAGCACCACGGGAGAGCGATTTGGCAGTTATTCAGGTGGACGAGTCCATCTATGTTCGGAAAAGAGGAGGGGGGAGACGAAAATAATGGATGCAGTCTGAAAGCCACCGTAAGCGTGAACAATCAATTAAGACCCGAAAAGGTTTATCAAATCCTTCCAATGATTGCTAAGCCAGAATCCATCTTCTCGGTTGGAATTGTCTCTGTGTTTGTATATGTGGATAGCCTCATAAAATCCGTGATCTGGTTCTGTCTGTAAAAGATGTGATTCCGGACATACAGTACCCAGGCGTCTACAAACTAAGTTGCCTCTGTGGTAGTAGTTACATTGGAGAAACCAAACGACATGTCTCGGACCGCATTCGTGAACATAAAGCAGACCTAAAACACGGTAGGACCAACACCTCGGCCGTGGCAGATCACCGTTATAATTCAGTAGGCTCACATGACATTGACTTCTCCAAGACAGAGGTTCTTGGCAAGCCATCTGGCTACCATGAGAGATTCGTTCATGAGGCTATCCACATATACAAATACAGAGATAATTTCAATCGAGAAGATGGATTCTGGCTTAGCAATCATTGGAAGGATTTGATAAATCATTTCGGGTCTTAATTGATTGTTCACGCTTACGGTGGCTTTCAGACCGCATCCATTATTTTCGTCTCCCCCCTCCTCTTTTCCGAACATAGATGGACTCGTCCATCTGAATAACTGCCAAATCGCTCTCCGTGGTGCTAACGTTAAAAAAAAACCGCCACTTTTTTCAAAATTTCTTGCTGTAGTTTTCACACCTGATGGTGATTGCTTGTGTTGCAGTCGAAACGTTGTGAGAATTTTATTGTTTTATATTTTTATTACTTTATTGTTTCCCTTCTACGTGACTTTACAAAAAGAACCAAGAATATAACCATTTTGCGTTCTCTCAATCCTGTCCAAAATGTGCAGATCAACTAGGGAAAATTTTACAAGAATTTTAACAGTCTCCAGTAAAAGCCGATGCCCAGCACATGTGTGGAAAGTTTCTGTATTGAGCCAGATTGGATTGGGGAAGGAAAAATAAAACTCTCGCACTACTTGTGCCATAATTCTGAGGGGGCCCACTGTCTCGGCCAGAGTGGTCGTAAACAAATTGCTTCACGCAGGGAGCCGTGAGGCGTACTCACAATTAATGAGCAAAATCCACGTTAATCTTGAACACAAAATTAGAATTCCCTATTAAGTATGGAATGTGGCATTGGTCCATACGAGGCTGCGTGGGGTTTACGTCAATGTGTCGGATCTGGTTCGTGGGTCATCGTTTTTCTTTTATAGGAGCGATATTTTTTTTAATTGAAACTTGAGTTATCTGCAGTTTTTCCAGCCGTGTAGCCATCCGTCAGCCATCCAGTAAATCTCACCGGTCGCCGGGCATCTGTGCATAAGTCTTGTTACTTGAGTTATTGATGGATTTATGTTGTTGAGCCAAATTGCATTGTATTAGATGATGCTAATAATACAGTTGGTGTTAGCAGAGGGCATGTCAGTTTGGGAGTAACTGCAGTGTTGGCTACAGAACATATTAAAAGCTTGTTTGCAAAAGCAGGTCACTATTCAGAATAATTGGTTCACTTGCAAAACTGCACGTGTTATTACGTAGAAAATGGGAAAATGTTTACCAGTATCAAAGTATGAAAAAATAAAAATAGGTTTTACCCATTTTGTAGCTGCTCACCCAGAGCTCTAAATGCCCTGACAGTGGCAGTCTTTGTGCTGTTCAACTTTTGCCATTCTTTGGTTTACACTGGTGAGACTAGGTCCTAAAGAAGGCTATGGTGTAGACCAATCAGTCTCAAGGACAATGCATATATTATCAGATCACGTTTGTTTGCATGTTCACCACAAGAAAGTGTTTAATGCAGACATGATTCCTTGCAAAAGGTTTATATTTGGTTTTTGAACATCTTAACACCTGTTTTATTGTCATAAAGCGTAAAACCTATTCTTATTTTTTATACATTATTATGTAGGTTTATAATGATGCATCAACTCGCGAATTTAAATAGATTCCTACGCTCATAATACAGGTGTCGAGCTGTGAGTGTGATTTAGGATTTGTGTAAAGTATGGGGTAATATTACATTAAGCTAATTGAGCAAACTGCACAACTGCACAAACAAGAAACAATACGATCAGGACGGTGAGAGCAAAATAAAGAATCAAATCTTGATCCGTGACCCCTGATCGGTTCCAATGTAGTCAACCTCTGAGAGCTGAAGCCTGGCGTGCCTAATGTTGTTTTGTGTGCGTATGTTGTGTGTCCACGTGTACGTGCGTTGTGTACACGTGTGTGCGTGGCTCGCCTTGCGCACGTCAGAATTTCCAGCTGTGCAAGCTGTTCTGCAGCCCCAGCGACGCCATGGTGTGGGCGATGGACGCACGGGGGAACGTGTTTGTGCGCGTGGGCATCTCCCACACGATGCCTATTGGCTGCAGCTGGGAGCACGTGCCGGGTAAGTCGACCGTGTGAGTCAAGCCAAGGTGGAAGCCATCGCTCTTGGTTATGAACGGAAATGCTTAATGTGCGACCGAAAAGTTCGGTGGGATGAGCATTTATTTTCCACATCGTAAGTTTTGTTTAACCGCGAGTTCTTTTTTTTGTTCTACCTACGTTACTTTACCGAAAGAACCAAAGAGTATGGATTCCTGCAGTCACGAAAGCTTCAAATGAAGATCCATGCGCTAGAGTTAATGAGTTTAATAAGAGAATAAGAATAATAATGACAATAAGTCCATGTACCAACATGAAGCTGTCGATAACTGCATCGTCTACTCTCTCAGCTGCCTTTTGCAGAGACAAATAGACACGCCCTGCTCTAAGCCACTACAAGCCAGATAAGTTGCTTCTTCGCAGCTGCTCCTTACTCTGGACTTGTTTCATTTGGTGAATTAGGAGTGCCATCTTTGGTAAACATCGTGGGCTCACAGGGCAGTGTCATTCCCGACAGATTTCCAGCACAGGAAGTGAAAAATGCCAAATCTTTTCACAGAACTGGGTGTGTTTACTGCTCATGTGCACATTTTATTCAATGACCAATGTCTATGTTGAGCCACTGAATGTCGAAACCGGTACAGACTTTGTGTTGAACCAATGGCGCTGAAATTATGCACTCCCGGAAGGGCCGTGTGACTGATGGGATGTGTAAAGGAGACGAATTGTCAGCTTGTTGATTGTTTCGCATTTACGTTACGTTGTATGGCTGCATGCGTACTGCTGTACGTGCGTACGAGACCGTCACGCACCGTGTTCACGTGCAAGCCCGTCGCGCGCGTTATCCGCGGCCCAGGGCTGAATGCGACGGCGCTGGCACTGAGCGAGCACACGGCGTGGGTGCTGTGCCCCGGCGGGGAGGTGGCACGGCGGTATGGCGTGCGGGAAGGCAACGCGGCTGGAGACTACTGGAAGCGCATCCCTGGGCAGCTCACCTCGCTTGCCGGTCAGCGCCGTGCGGATTTTATTTTTCGTTGGGTGGGAAAATCCTCTTGCGGATCGTGGCTCGGTCATTCGTGCAGCGGGGCTTCCAGTTGAGGCATGCGTTCAAATCCTTCCATGGTCCCTGCCATGGAATTTTGGAATTTCTCTCTCTAAGCTAAGCAGAATCCAGCCTGTATGGTGCATGGATGTGCAAACACTGTGGACAGGCAAGTGTCATCATAGGCTGCAACGGGGCTACGTGATGGGTAGCAGAGGGCAGTGCAGCAACATCCTTTCGTTCTGTACTTCTACGTGACGTCGATGCTCTTCATCTTCACCAACCCGCACTGACCAGTGGGGTGATGTATGGTTAAATAATCGGCACGATTGCAACAGAGTGAGGAGACCTTTATCTAGCAGTGGATTGGCAAGAGCGGCCAGCACTCATTACGTGATCAGCGCTCATCTCACCGCCGGTGCCATCCTCCCCCGTCCCCGCCGCGGTGCGACAGTGACGGGCGCGGACGAGGTGTGGGGCTGCACGCCGGAGGGCGTGCTCGTGCGCCGTCTCACACGCCTGCTCCGCCGCTCAACGGCGGCGGCTGCCCCACCGCACGCCTACCGCCTGGGCAGCACTGACGACAACGACGACGACTGGGAGCTGTTGTGAGGAGGCGCGCCAGCCCGGCGGGGCGCCCACGTGGGTGACCGCTGCCTCCCTCTGCCCGCGCCGCCATAGCCGCTTCCCGTTTTACAGTAACGGAGGGAAGAGCTGCAGCATTGACCCCGACCACCGACCCGTCACCCCGGTGACTTGAGGGCGAGGGCAGCGGGTTACCAAACTGCGCTACGTGGGCCGCCGCTGTGACCCTACACAGCCGCAGTGTCCGGTATAAACGAGTGGAGTGTGTGGACAGTGGTACTGGAGAGCCTGCTGGAGTCTTGCAGACAAGTGGAGGTGGCTGTGGCTGAAGGGTATTTAACCAGCAATACTCAGGTTAAAGGGTGATCGTTAATGGATTGAAGCCTCCACTGGAATCACCAGACTGAGCCTATTAAAAGTTCTAACATTGTTGAGTGATGGGCAGCGTGGCACTGAAATGGTCTGATGCACTGTGGGTAGGGGGGATGGTGGTGTGTACGTTGTGACGATTCTACACGCAGCTGGCAGTTTTCATGGTGACAGGGTGAAGAGGGCGCCGTACGGATGTTGTCGGGGCGTCGCTAGCGCTGCTGATGTTTGTGTAGCCGACGTACTAAGGCCACTGGTAAGGTACATCATCCACAGCGTGACACTTGCTGAACTTGTCATAGGGGTAAATTCACAGCCCTGCGCCAATATTTACGCGACTACCGGTGCCTCGCAGCCATAAATCTCGAGTGGGTAAGATGCAAACAAACCCTATTAGTTTAACACATAGGCTTTCGCGACCAATATCAGCCAAACGTGAGGTGTAAGAAAACTGACGTTAGCGCAAAAGCAACGCAGATGTAAATGCAAGTAGCGAGAACAAAGCCGAACATTAACTCTGCTGCAGCTGCAATAATTAACATGCTGCTCCCAGAGCTTGAGCCTCGCTAGAATGTCGCACTTATTTATTAACCAGCCGTGCGCGACCTTAAAAGTGAAAAAACGTCTTGCGCTCCTGCAGTGCGATGCAGAAATTAGTCAAAGTATCATTTGTGGGTCAGTGACATTACAGCAAGGGAAGGGAGTGAGAGGAGTCCTGATGGCGGCACAGTACGTCATTTCATCTCTCGTTGCACACCCCACGAGTTCCCAGCATCTCTCCGCCGGCCAGCAGTCGTCACCCAGAAACGCGTGGACTGGCATTTACAAACTTGAGATGGTAGCGTTAGAAGTCTACCCCAATGCATACTGTACTTTACAAAATAATTTTCTTTAACTTTAATATAACTGTGAAATAAAACATTTAAACAGTGATATTGTAAGTACTCTTTAAGAGGAGATTTTTTCGTCACTACCTGTAAATATATTTGGTGTTAGATTATGATGATGCAGTAATGTGTTATTGATGCTGCTGTAGGTGCAGCCTGCCACTGTGGGCACAGGGTGGCTGGGTCATGGTGGTCTGGGTGGAGGCATGGTGCGGGTGTAGGGGGTGGTGTTAGAGGGAGTGCGGGGAGCGGTAGTGTAGCGGTTAGCGCGCTGCGCTATGAACCTGATGACCCGGGTTCGATTCCCACTCACGGCCAACACCAGTGACGATTATCTGAACCTGTCCCGGGCCTCCCTTAGGTCGACTCAGCCTCAAATGAGTACCTGGTGCGGTGTGTAAACATTGCCACTAGGGAGACAAAGGTGGTCGGGCGTGGTGCTGGCCACCCACCCCCTCGTGTACCGTTCCGGCCTTCATAGGTGCTCGCTAACAGCACTTGCCCCTACAGTCTGTTAAGGCTATATGGGGGATCTTTGTCTTTGTTAGAGGGAGTGTTGGGGAACCTCTTTGCTGCACTTTTCCCACCCAAGAAATTCAGATTCAAGAAACTGATTCTATTGGTCCCGAGACTTGAACCCAACATCCCCCTGTGCAGGGTTTACGATTCTCACAGTAAAACGAAAACAATTTCTTTAAATGCATCAATTCGGAATTCGGTTTGCATGAACAGCATCTGAGTCGACCATTCTCAACATCATTTTGTGTTCGATCGCCATAATTGGCGATGTGCACTCCGACGGGGGTGGATCCACGGTCTGTGTCACTCTCTACACGAGTGAGCGTTGCGCGACCGTGCGCAGTGCCGCCCGGGATTTGCGACCCCACACTCGTCGTGGTCACGTCGCGAGCCGCGTTCACTGCCACCAGGCACGATGGCAACCGCAAACACCCCTTCCGTCACTGCGGTGAAACTTGGCGTTCTTTGTGCGAAAACATGCCATTTTTCAACCGGAGGCGATGAAAGGTGACACTGGTCCCATTCCTTTGTCCCATGCAGTCCGGTCTGGCCACATGGTTTGTGCTAAAAAGATTTAAACAACTTCTTTTATTTCAGAGCTGGAGTGATGGGCGGCCCTGACGTGGGTAACTCCAGTTTCATGATCCTGGATTGTGGCGAGAACTTTTTCTTTGTTTGCTAAACAAATATTTTAGGTCGCAGCTACGTCAAGGTGTCCTCATGTTCTGGAAGTGTAGCATTTGTTAATGTAGCTCGGGTGAGGTCGTGAATCAAAATGAAAGTGTCACACATGTTACCAAATAGCTGGCTGGATATCTGGTGGGCACTTAATGATTTATCTGTTCGTTACAATGCGTTCTTACGAGCTCTACATGTGCCCCGAGTCGTGTATATCAGAATCAGTTTGATTTATGTAGATTGCATTGAAATTCAAATATACACGATACAAAGCAGCAAAGAGGACCAACAAACAAGATAATGGACTGTGAGATTGAACCATGACTATGTTGTCCAGTCGTGGGATGGGCCTCTCCGTGCCGAGCACCTGGCTGTGTGGGGGAGACTCAATGCATATTGGGATGCAGAGCCCATCATCTTTCAGAGATGGGTGAAGTAAACAATTACCTTCTGGATGGACAGGCCTCTGCTCTCGTAATGTGGAATTCCCACCACTCAATCATAACCGTCAAGAAGCAATCGTTGCTCCGCACTCGCTGACCGTGTACAGGGACCTGAATGTGCTCATTTAAAAACAAAAGTTATCATGATTGTGTACGATGCCTGCTTCTATTGCCTCATACGTGCCTGCAAGGTGTCTTCACATTCGTAGGTACCAGAATTGAAGTGTAACACTACTACTATGACTTCTACTACTACACACAAGATGTTATTATTAAATGTCAAAATTACAGTTGTGACCATCCAATGGGTCCTCCCATCCAGGCTGTGCACGTGCTGTGAAGTCACCGCGCTGCATGTGGAATGCACACCCAGCCTTGTTTGCCGTCCTATTTGTTTTCAACCTGCACGCTCTTCTCATAATATACAGAATAAAGTACTAGACAGCTCGAACTGAACTTGCATCCCTTGTATTAAACCCACATGCACATGGTTATTGGTTACTGCTCACCATGTGGTGCTTGTCGCCACGCCACAGGAACAAAGTGGGATCTTTTAAATCATTTAAAAGACATTTACACTGTTAAACATACGGGATGGGTATTTGATGCCACAAATATTGTTCAAACTGGGAGGCGACCAGGCCGTGGTACTTTGGGATCACACAGCATTTTCTTGCCGACCGTGTTTCTTTTCTGCATCGTGAGTCAAATGCAGCTGAGATTGTTTTTGCTGTTCTGGCTACAAAGTAGCCTCGCAAGGTGTGCGACCTCTGTCCAGGTGCAGCTCGCGCGCTGCTTGAGTCTAAACAACACACATGCGTGACAAGCACACGGTTTTTGCGCACGACTCAAAAACCATCAGCATTTCATGCAGTGCATTGTCAGTCCCCTTTGGTCACCATCAACATAGATTTGAGTAAATGCGACCGACCGACAGCAGCAGACAAGACAACCAATTTCAACCTCATTGTGACGCAGCATCCTTCCGTCTTCCCTAACTGCTCCAACCTGCTATCGCCCTCTTTACTTCGCCGGTTTGATCTCGGTCGACCTTCGGTGGCTGTCCCACACTCACTCTGCTGCTATTTCCAGATGCCGCCATCTCTTGTCTAGTGAACTTGTTGTACATGACCTGTATGTAACACCGGTTGGTTATATGTACCATGTCTCAACCAAAAAGACGTGTTTAAAGCAAGTGATGGGCCTGGGTCAGTCATGGGGCACAAGGCAGGCGATGATATGGAAACTGAAGCATCATACCTTGACGGAGATGGCGGTGGTGACGGCTGTGATGACATCAGTGGTGTGCGCATCCCAACAAAAAACTACTACAGACAAACCTGGAATCAGAACTGCATGTATTTGTCAGCTTTTCATGTATATAAATAAAAAACACACATTTAGACATGTAGCACTTTTACAAGAAAAAAACTAGTTCACAATCAGAATTTTCACAAACGTTCACATATAATACTGGCTTAATTTAATTATTCAATATATTTATGTTCTTTATTCACACACTATTGCACGGATGTGTACTACAGACAGATAGACCAGCTACACTCGGCATCGCGGAATGAAGTGGGTGGCACGCTGGCCTCGAACGCTCGCGCACGCACAGCCCCGGGGGAGGGGGGGGGTCAAACCGAGTGCCCTGGTCACAGCGTGCCCTTGAGGCTGCTCAGAAAATCATCGATCGAGTGGCACCAATCACCTGCATGCAAGAACACGTGCTTTGAGAGATGGTGCTGTCCACTGGGTGCTTTCGCCACTGCCCACGTCTCGTGCCAGGCAGGTGCTCGAGCCAGGTAACCAATGCCACCTGAATTTGAGAAGGAAAATCTGACCGGGCAACGCGAATATCGCAGCGAATAAAAGACCGATTATTTACCGGCATTTTTATTGTCACTATACTTTGCTTCAGTGGCAGAGTGGACGTAATAATTTGGCCTCGTGCACCGCCAAGAAATGCTTGGGTCCAACACTGGACGCCTCTTGCCCCCTTCTGCGGCACACGCATGAGTTTTCTCGTTAAATAAACACCACTGGGAAACAACATTTTGTTCCACAAATCGCTACACCTTGGACGGATGATACTGACACGAACAAAGGAGACATCACCGTCTCCACAAGCTGTACGCCTTGCAAGCATTGGCCGATATTCAGAGGAACCCCACGGCTGCCGACACAGCGAGACTACGCGTTCTGCCTCCGAAACTACGTTTCTTGTCTCGTGCCACTACAGCCGTCGTTTTTGGGGCCATTCCAACGCAACGCAGTGCTGTTTATCGGTGGCGATACAGCACGTCGAGATTGAGGAATAATTCTGGAGACTTGATGCAGGTTATTTATTGACAATTGCACTTCATGCATTTGAAATGTGTTACGAGTGCCTTAGTTCAACCCGGTCTGCTGATCAGCAGTGTAATTTACTTGTCAACATGGGCGAATTTAAGCCGACATTGATGGACGGACTACATTTGGTCTGGAAGTCCTGGAGCTGAAACCATTGTTGTGAAGGGCTTGGAAACGCGTGCGTACAAATCATACGTTTGCGGCAGGGCACCAAGATTCCCTGCCACAAACGGAACCGGGAGCAGCGCTCAATGTAAAAAAAAAAATCGATATTTTAAAAGTTGCATTTTTAGAAAGTGTTTATAAATCGGAGCCCGTAATTGGTGAGCAGCAAAACAAAGATGTTGCCATCCTCCTGCACAGGCACCAACTGTGATTCCAAACGGAGAATCGCACGACACAACTAACAAGACACAAGTCTGCAGCAGAGAATGAGGTCACCTGCCACAACAACGGAACGATTTGTATGCAGGCATCGAGGAGAGGACAACACCGCTGCTCTTCCCCAATCATCGCCCACGCTCGCAGCCAACACAGTCCCGTCATTAATAAATAACCTGAAGAGGGCATCATCTCACAGCGCGCACGACACAGCATGATCCTCATAGCACGAGACAACAGCGTCGGCATCGTGTGTTACAGGTATCTTCGTTTCATCTTGTATTTCGTTTTTTATTCCGTGAGTACAAAGTGTGGTATTTGGATTGGTCCTTCAAACCTGGATTACAAATAGGTCCAGGTGTACTGGAGTTAATGGGTGGGCTCGCTAAGAGGCCGACCCGTAAGCACCTTGGTTGTTATGCAGGAAAAACAGACAGGCAATAATTCGACTGGAATGTCATTCCGTAGAACGTGACAGATGGGGTGAGCGCACAACATTCATCTGGAAGAAACGCGTCTCGTTTTAAATAATTTGCGTTGTATAAACGTAACAGATTGGTAAGTGGGTTATGGAAAGCAGCATTTCCTAATCATCTTCATGTTCTCAACTTTTATTTATTCATTAACTCGTTAAATCTTACTTCATTGCGTATTGGTCAGGAAAATAAATTAAACGCAGGGAAGAGGCTGAACAATTGTGCAGAAATAAATATTTTTTTAAAAAATAAACCAACATTAAAGTAATATATATTTATATATAAAAATGAACGTCTGTAGGAATGTAACCAAAAGGTCCCACAAAAATTAAAGAGTTTTGCCAGTTCCTTGTACGAGCTGGGCTTCACGTGAGTTTTTACGAATTTGAATCATACAAAAAAACAACAATTTGGGGAGATTTGTTTTTGCCGGTGTGGCGGCGGTGCGAGGTCACACGGAGCAGCTGTCGGGCGAGGCATCCGCGCGCTTGAGCCACACGTCCGGCACGCCGGGCTCGCTGTTGGGCAGCACGATGGGGTCCAGGGACCGTGTCGCCTGGCATGCGCCGGCGCCATCCCGCGTTCCCGCGCTGCCCCTCAGCGCCAGACGCAGCGCCGGCCGCATTCCGTTGAGGCTCCCCCTCTCGGCCACGGAGCCCATGCCCTCCAGGGCCTCCAGCAGGCTCTCCACCGGCACCGTGCGCTCCGCGCGCGCGATGAAATCCACCCCGCCATTGAGCCGGCCGCTCCGCGGGAGCCGCCGCTTTGGCCCGACGCGGAGGGGAGAGGCCTCGGCGTCGTGGGGGCCGGTGGCTGCCGCCCCGTTCTCCTCCTCGGGTATCGTTGGTGACGAGGAGGAGGCTACGGAGGAGGCAGCGGCGGGGTCTTCTCCGATGCCGTCCTCTTCGACGCCGTCCTCATCGGTGACGGACGCCGCGTCGAGGTCGCGGTTGAGACGCTCGGGAGCGGAGGCGTCGCACACGTTCTCGTCAGCGCCGTGCTCGCTCGTCAGCGCCTGCAGCTGGTACTCCTCGGCGCCCGTGCGTGGCCCACCGTTGCCGTAGTGAACCCGCTTGCCGAGCGTCGTCTTGGACTCCTCCTCCTCCTCCTCCTCCGTGGTCGTCTTCTTCTGGCCTGGGGTGCCCACGCACGGCCGCGCCACGCCACAGCACAAGTCGGGCGCCGTGGGATTCTCCCCGCGGGGCCCGAGGCAGCAGCAGAGGCTCTGGAAGAAGAAGGTGGCGTAGGCCCAGCTGACGGCCATGACGAGCATGAGGAAGGTACCGAGCTGCGTGTATGCGAGCACCGTTGACGGCATCATCATGGCGCCGGCCAGGAAGGTGGTAAGCGCCGCCATGGCCACGGCGGGGCCCATGCGGCCGAGCGAGAAGCTGACGCGCGCCCGCCGCCCGGGCCCCGGGGCCAGGCGGTACGCCACGCCGTAGTGCACCGCGAAGTCGACGGCCAGGCCCACGGCCACCGACACGGTGACGCTCTCCAGGACGTTGAGCTCCCAGCCGAGCAGTGCCAGCGAGCCGGTGGTGACGGCGATGGAGCCGGCGATGGCGAGCAGGGCGTAAACGCTCACGGCGAGGCTGCGCGTCGTCAACAGCATGACGCCGAACGCCAGGCCCACGGCGAGGCCCAGCGACAGCAGGGAGCCGGCCCACAGGCTGGCCTGCAGGTCGTAGAACTCGAGCGAGCTCACGAACCAGCCGCGGCGCAGGCCCGGCGGCGCCGTCAGCAGCTCGGCGTGCAGCCACGCGTCCACCTCGTGACGGAAGCGCGCCATGCGCTCGTGCGCCAGCGTGAAGCGGTACGAGCTCGGAAACTCCACCAGCACGGCACGCAGGGAGTCGTTGGCGTCGAAGCGTGGTCCCGGCGTGCGCCCGTCCAGGGTGACGCGGAAGCGCCGCTCCAGCTCCAGGACGGCGCGCTTGATGCAGAACTCGAAGACGTCGCGCTCGTAGGGGAACGCGGACGACGAGCAGCACGGGGCGAGGCCCACGCCACCCAGGCTCAGGCCGAGGGGCCCGCCACGCCCCCCCGCGTCCCCGCCGCCCCGCGACGCCGCGGCTCCGCCGCCGCCGCCATCTCGCCGCCGCTGCTGCTGCCGGTGACGGTGCTGGTCGTCGACGGCGTCGTCGCAGTCCTCCGACTCCATCCACTGCTTGAAGGTCTCAATGAAGCACCCGGAGAAGTCGGCCTCGCGCTCGCGGTGCAGGTAGAGGCTGTGGTTGCGCAGGCGCCGGCAGAAGTCGAGGAGCCAGAGCTGCGACTCGGCGCTCGCCACATCAAAGCCGGGGTCCAGCACCAGCTTCCCGCGGTCGGCCGGGTTGAGGGGGTCCCCGTTGTCCTCGGGCACGACGCCCCAGATGAGCGTTACGGGCAGCGCCAGGTCGTCCCCGCCGCCCGAGCCGGGCCGGCCGGCGCGCTCGAACGCGAAGAGCGCGCGGTGCTCGGCGTCGTAGCGCTCGAACGGGTGCGACGGTGCAAATACGCGGAACTCGGCCAGCTCCAGAGACGGCAGCCGCATGCCGGGCCACGCGAACACCGCGTAGGCGCCGCCGGCCGCCAGCGCCACGAAGCCGCAGAGCCACGCGTGCCGCAGGCGCACGACGATGCGCGGCAGGAGCCGCTCGAAGAACGCGCGCGACGCCGCCGACGCCCGCGCGCCGCGAGCGCTCCACCGGCGCCCAGAGGCGGCGCGGCAGGGACGGCCCCTCCCCCGCGCCGCCGGGGCAGCCCCCGCGCGGGCGGAACGCGTCGGCCAGGTAGCGCTCGTGCAGCACCACGACGGCCGGGAGCCAGCTCACCATGAGGCCGTAGTTGGCGAGGACGGCGGTGCCGGCGTAGACGCCAAAGCAGCGCACGGCCGTGATGCTGCTCACGTAGTTGGCGTAGAACGCGGCCGCCGTGGTGAAGCTCGTCACGAACATGGAGAGCGCCGCGTGGCGCAGGGTGGCACGGACCGTCTCCGTCAGCCCCGCGTCGCCGGCGCCGGGGCCCTTGGCGGCACGGCGGTCAGCCTTGGCGTGGCGCCACACGTCGCACAGCACGAAGGCGTCGTCGGCGCCGACGCCCACCAACACCACGAGCGCCGTGAGGTTCATGAAGGGGAAGAACTCGAAGCGCAGCACGACGCGGTACACGAAGTACGCCACGATGAGCGAGCTCACGATAGCGAACATGGTCATGAGCGTGACGAACACCGAGCCCGTGTACACGCACATGAGCAGCAGAACGATGACCATGGCCACTGCCGGGTACACCGTGTCCGTGAGCAGGTAGTCCTGGAAGAGCGAGTGCTTGATGCCGAACTCGATGCCCACCACGCTGGTGACGCCGTCGGTGCGGTTCCAGCGCTCGAGGTTGTCGCGGTACAGACGCATCATGCCGTCGCCCTTCTCCGTGGGCACGAACAGCATGCTGTAGCGCAGGCGCGCCGCGCCCTCCCCGCCGCCCGTCGCCAGGAAGTCCTTGTCCACCAGGTAGTGCAGGATCTGGTAGACGGCGTTGTGGCGTGCGCAGCGGCGCGGCACGGCCTGGCACTTGGCGCGGTCGCGGCGCCCGGCGCCGGCGTCCCAACAGTCGGGGCCCAGGCTGCCGTTGCGGTAGAGCGGCGCGCAGGCCTGCAGCAGGCGCAGGGCGTGCGCCAGGTCACGCTCTGTCACTTCGCGGCACGACGAGCGGTTGCCCAGCAGCGCCACGTAGTTGCCGAGGGACCAGCTCGGGCAGCACACGGCGGTGGTGGTGCGCTGGCACAGCTCCGGGAATGTGCGGTGGGAGCTCACCTGCAGGACGGGACGCGCACGCACGCACGCACGAAGACACGCACGAACACACGCATGCACACATACACACGCTAACACGCGCATGCACACACACGCACACACGCGAACACACACGCACACACACGTGAACGCACGCACGTAAACGCACGCACGTGCACGCACGCGCACGCAGGCACGCACCCGGCCACGTGGCACAGCGGTAGAGCAAACACAGCTTGTGAATTCGAAGTCCATCGTATCTCCGGGGGTCAATAAATTGAGTATCACTTCATGGCGTTAACAGTCATTTTCCTACGGATGGATTCACCCTCATAACACACTCTCGTACACAGGCACACAGACACACATGCTCACACACAAAAGCACACACGCAGACGCGAGGTGTGCGAGCCCTCCTCACCCGCGCGTCGTAGAGGCTGCACATGGAGCGGATGGTGGTGATGTTCCACAGGCTTCCCCCATCCGCTGCGGCAAAGACAACGCGCGAGTAGCCGTCCCCTGCAGCGCAAACGGCAACAACATCGATGCCGTTACAAAGTGTGCATCCACAGCCTTTGCTGGAATAACACAATAACAACAATTTAATCTTGCAGCGTTTGCCAAATGGAATTACTGCATGGATCAGAGAGGCGGACTCCAGGAGTCTGAAATGAACACTAAATATGATGAGGAATAAAACCGGCTGCGCTGGGTGGGACGCGTGTCCAGGATAGAGGAGGTACTGATCGCCGAGATGGGCGTTGGAGTGGTCTCCACGTGTCTAGTGACCAAACGGAAGGCCCAAGACAAGGTGGTGGTTACAATTCCACGTGCGTGTGCATGGAATGTATGACGGTAAAAGACACCACTGGGTGGTTGGAACCAGCCACCCCTTCAGAAACAAAGGACCGGGAGGCTACATCACAGCAGGATGGTACCATGGTGAGCACAGGTGGTGCATCTACCGGTTATCTCAGTCAACCCATAGCACCGGGGTCTGTTCCGTGATCTCCAGCAGGCCCTTGACAGTTAACATGGCTTAAAAGTGCGCACAACCCGACACAAGCGCCGTGGTGATACCGATGCGACGGCGTGGGTGTAGCGAGCGAGGACTCGCCGGGCGGGTCGCAGAAGAAGGCGTCGGTGTGGAAGTCCCACTCGGCCGCCCTCCGGTCGCGCCCGTAATCGTCGTTCCAGGGTTTGTCCAGCTGACCCTGGCTGTGTACGCACGCACCACACACACGCACGCACCACACACACGCACGCACCACACATACGCACGCACCACACATACGCACGCACCACGCACGCACCACGCGCACACGGGCAGCGGGGGCGGGAAGCACGTGGACACACAACAACCCCCGTTAATCCCGGGGTGAGCGCTATTAGCGAGTGCCTGCATGGCATCTCATGTCAACCGTTCAGAGGGGCTGCACGGCAGCAGCTCGGGATGATTCAGCAAGGGGGCATTGGTCTGCCAGTCGGGGCCCATGATTGCTGCTCTGTGTCATCCCAGTTGTGGAAATTTCGATTTAACTGCGGCGACTGTCACTCCCATAATATTTTAATAAAACACCCATATTACAGGGGTTTGTTTTTGCCGCTCTCATTAATGCAACTTCAATTCCAGAAAACGGGCGCCCTGGATCATAATCTACAAGATTTTGTAGATTTGTGTTCCTGTTGCGTCTTCCTGTAAGCCTCGCATGGTACGCAGAGGGCCGCAGAACACAGCCCTACGAGCCCTCCGCACCGCGCGAAGGGCCCACACCACCCTGACGTACTGATTTATATCGGCGCTGCGCATGGCTGTCAAATGAAACTGCACCTGTAGCGCAGTGTGTTAACGGCTAAACCACCGCTCCCCACACACACAGACGCACAGGCAAAAGTGGATGTTTTTCGTCAAACGCAACACACTGCGACGACGCAGGCGGAAGCCTCACCTCCTGGACACCTGCTCGGCGTACTTGAAGGGGTAGTTGGCGAGCGTCGCCATGTAGCCCGTGTTCTTCAGCATGTTGTTCCACGTGACCAGGCGCTGGCTGATCTCCGTGCCGCGCGGCTCAAAGCCCTGCCAGGGCCACACACCGGCGACCGTCGGCACCGCGCATTCCGCACGGCAAATCGCCCCCTTCGTCCCACCTCCCCTGCCGGCAGCTGCCCAGATCGCGCTGCTCGAATTCGTTCGTACATTCGCCCTTTCACTCTTACACGTGAGAGTTATTCGCGGTACTGACTCGCCCCAGCTTCCTCGGTCTATCCCTTTCCTTCTCTCCACTCCTTCACTCTCACACTCATTTGCTCCCAAGTGCGAGTCTCAGTTGTGTTTAGGTGCAAGTCCGGGCGAGCGTGAGTCTGGGCGAGCTCACCAGCAGCGGGTCAGAGAAGTCGGGCAGCTCAGGAACCAGAACTCCGACGAGGGCGCACACCACGATGAGAAGCGTGCACATGGCCAGCACCACGATCGGCCAGTCGGCGATTAGCTCCGAGTAGCTGCGCACGCACAGAGAGGGGGGGGGGGGGGGGGGGGGGGGTCGGCGTTGGCCCTTTAAGCCTCGCAGCCCGAGAACGGCGAGCGCTTCTAGCGGTCGCCGTCTGCCGAGCGCGAGTGAAGCCAGTGCGCGGGCCTGGGGCAGGTAAAGTTGTCACTTCTCCTTCTTCTCCTTCCGCGTGGCCTATGAACAGCAACCGTTTGAGATTCACTTGGGGTTAGGGTACGCCAGCACGCCACACCGGCAATTCTCACAAACCGGCACCATCCGCAACGGTTTCCATTCCTATCTTGCGATGTTTTCACGGATGGGAAACGGCAGCGAGCACGGGCGGTAGGACGAATCGGCTCCGTACGCGGACTTCTACGTTCACATTCGCACCGCCGCATGGCGAGTACCGGCGTGGCCGTAGACGAGCGTGCGGCGCGCTGCGTGTGGACACAGTCACTTGCGCACGGAGAGCCGCACGGAGAGCCGCACGGACCGCGGTTCTCAGTGTCCTGCAAGTACGACACACGCTGCGCGTAACAGCGTCCCAAACCGTCTCTCTGCACACGTCGCGTGGGCCTCAAGCGAGCCGAGCACAGGCCGACACCGACGTACAACTTACGACGACACGTGCGTGAGCGCACGCAGGCGCAATCACGCACGCACACACAGCCAGGCATCATCGGCAAACAGGAAGCGCCGTTGGATTCCACCTATTGGGGTCTGACTCGAGTGCCGTGGTCGGCCGCCAGCTCATTCATCACCCACTGCGCAGCGAAGCGACGCTACACTCTCCATTCCTCATGGACGCCTCTCGCGGAACGCACCGCAGGGGCACACCGCGCCGCGCCATCTGGGAGAAATGACCAAGGAAATTACGCAATGCATCGCAATGCAAAAACCAATTACAAGGGAAAAATTGAGAAACGATTACGTGCAGAGTGTGACGATTTAAAGTGCCGCGTTACCGCGCGCGCATGCTCACACCCAAGTTAAGTAGCTACGTTGTACGGGTCTCTAGACTTACACACAGGAAGAGCATGAGAGGGCGTCTCATCAGCAGGCTGGGGGTGGCAAGGGAGGGGATGCGAGGCTGGACACTGCTGCTGCTCGCACTCATGCAGAAGAATGTGGGGCCAGGAAGGAGGGAGCGAGGGGAGACAGAGCGGGAGCGAGGGAGTGTGAGAGGGAGAGAGAGGGAGCGAGGAATGAGAGAGTGAGTGAGAGAGTGAGAGAGTGAGTGAGGGAGAGTGAGAGAGTGAGAGAGTGAGAGGCAGAGAGGGAGAGTGAGAGAGGGAGAGAGTGAGTGAGGGAGAGAGAGAGTGAGTGAGGGAGAGAGTGAGTGAGGGAGAGAGTGAGTGAGTGTGAGAGAGGGAGAGAGAGTGAGAGAGTGAGTGAGGGAGAGAGTGAGAGAGGCAGAGAGGGAGAGTGAGAGAGTGAGCGAGTGAGGGAGAGAGAGTGAGTGAGTGAGTGAGGGAGAGAGTGAGTGAGTGTGAGAGTGAAAGAGGGAGAGAGAGGGTGAGAGAGTGAGTGAGTGAGTGAGAGAGTGAGAGAGAGAGGCAGAGAGGGAGAGTCCGCAAATGATTGCCAATGTGTTGTCAGGCCCCACAGACTGCGTTAGTACGCACTGGAACAAAGTGCGACACTGCTGGATGCTGTTGATGTTTTTTTGCGGCGCTTACCTCTTTGGGAATTCAAACGGCTTCTTGGACCTGGCAAAGAAAAGAAAATAATCGGTCCGTAAATAAAATGTACCGTCCATTACAGGACGTGATGCACAGCAAAACGAAATGCATGCAGATACAATGATAATGGTGACTCATTTACCCAGGAAATACACTTTCAGCAGGGTTCCACATTGAAATGCAAACATCAATTGCATCCTCTCTTTTAATCATATCCATTAATTTCCACCCAATGCGTATAATCACCAGCCGATTGCAAATTCACACAAACACACACGGCCTCGTGCGACACACAAACACTCTAGCGCTATGCACACACACATCTGCAGTCATGCACAACACCACCGACAACACAGACACAGCTGTGAATAAGAAAGCACGGTTTGTCAAAACATGTCACGGGGTGAGCGGCTTTGCAACTCGATATCACGTCAACCCAACACACACGCACGCACCGTTCGAGTCACACACTCACAGATGTTTCAGTTGCATACGTTGAAGTAGCGCGTGCGTGTTGCGAATACACCCTCCCCCCGCGGTGAGATAATGCGCGCGTGCGTGCGGGCACGCTATCCACGTGTGCGGGTTGGTTTCATGATCGCTGCAACTCATCATCGTCACGAACGTCGCGGCGGTGCGGAGCCGGCTCGCACCGCCGAGGCTTCCACCTGCGTGTGGAATCGCCGGAGCGCCACACGGATTACAGAGTAGGGACGCCGCTGTGTCGATCCGTGTCGCGTGGTGTCAGCGTGTCGTCACGGTCCGCAATTGATTCAAGAAATTACTCTTTTGCATCTCGGTTATACACTTTTGTTCGCCTCATTTGCATATCATGTGATCATAAATACATGTAATTGATGGATGTATACAATGCAATGCATCAACCAAATAACAAATTTGAAAACCTGCATCTGAAACGTTAACAACTGCCACTGCGTTACTACAACAACCTCCAGGTTCATAAGCCCATTTCATCAAACTAAGTGCCTTGCACACAGAGAAAGTGCTCCCATTTGGCCAAACAAATCTCAGGGCACCCAGACTATGGATCAGATATCAGAATTCCAACGTTGGCGATTTGCATCATTGCCAGGAATCAAACCGGGACCATCGAGTGTCCTTGCACCCTCACTCAGGCACCACCGCTCCCGACCGCAACACAAAGACGATGCAAAGTACACTTCTTCTTTTGGGGGGTTTGGCCGCCCGCGGTGGTAAACCCTCAGCGATCAGATCCGTCACGCCCGTAAGGCGCCCGGTGCCCAGCGCCGGAGCTCGCGGTTATTTCTGAGGCTTCCAAAGAGCAAACAAACCCACGGCACAGAGGCTTTTTGTGTTTTTGTTTTGCGCTTCTCCCGCCGCCGCTGCCGATCCTGAGCGAGCGGCTCCTATAGAGACCGCCCTCCCCCCACTCGCTGCACAATTAGCCGGGCCTCCTTTACAGAAATCACAAGAAATGGTTAAGCCGTGGCCAGCACACTCAAAGGAATACTTGACATTTTTCACGTTTGTGCTGTCCGCAAAACCGTCACAAAAAAGTGACAATCGTTTTCTGCGTTTCGTTAAAGAGCCTCCACGTAAAATTCGGTGGCCACAGAATTTCCGCTGACTTTTATTTTCAGCAAATCTTGAGTTGCTTAGAAATTCATTTGGTGCTTGGAGGAATTTCGAACGGCCACGGGGGTCGCGCTTAGACTTTAGTGACCCCGAAACTCATAAAATAACGGGGACAAAAGCCACGAACAAAGTCGGTAACTTTGCCACCAATTATTTGCCACTGTTAACAAACTGCAGCACGAGCTGAATGTGATCTCTTGTATTGGTTTTTGTTCAGCATAAATAGAAAACAGTAAACTCGTGAGTTGCAGTCTCATGCATCGTTTAAAGAACGTGGATATATTTGTATTGCATGGTAGTTAACTACTCTGTTAATTTCCGATGTTTAATCCGGTGAGACCTCATGAAGCTTAATTTCTGATGCGTACCATTCTCGACCATTATGTATTCATTATCTTGGTTTCAACCAAATTCATGTTTTTCTATTTTCAAAGTTTAATTAATGTCTTTTCCCTATGTCAATCTTTAATTTTCTACAATAAGGACCCCAAACAAAATATATAATGCGAATATTAATTATTACCACTCTAATTTCTTACATATTTTATATAGCAATTACTCGGTACAACAACATCATCAACTCAATCTAACAACGTCCTCATGAAGGTTTTAAGAGCTGGCACCGCGGAGATCTGGGGTTCAAGCTACGCAGCCGCCTGTGACTTAATGGCAGCAGTGGACGGTCTAAGCATATCTACCCCTGGCTTAACAAACCAAAGTCACATATCATTTAGTTCTTCATTTATTTGGCTAAATTCCAGCTCTGAGAATAAAAAAAAATATCAGTTTTACCATCACGTGAAAAACTTCACTCTTATGCACAGCAAGTGGAAAAGTGCTGCCGCCATCTCCTGTGCAGATCAGAGGTCACCCGAAGGATCTCAGAAGTAGCTCTGCAATATCAGCTTCAGTGGGCCATTCTCTAACACGAAGGGTTGCACTGCCCTGCGAGAGATCCAAACGCATTCTTCATCTCATAGCGTGACACCCAGAGTACAATGGGGATAACATTGGGGGGCAGTGACAACATGCTCAAAAGTTTTAAGTGCTAATAAAAACCAAATTGTTACCAAAGAGGCAATTTAAAATGTAAGCAGTAAAAGCAGTCCTGCTAACAACAACAAATGCACCGCTTAATCCACGCACCTCTTGATCATTATCACGCAGAGAACCGCAACATCGTACTTGGCCGTTCACTGCTTGGTGCAGAAGATCACAGTTCAAATCTGACCAGTCACACTGGGTAATGCTGCGGGTGCACTAACCATCACAGTTGACGTGAGAGATTCTGTGATATCATTCAGAGAAAAGTCGGCCACTGTGTGGTGGCGGCACAGCAATCGCCATCCCCCTACTATGTAAACTCGACAGGATCCTCCTGAAAAGAGCCTTGAGATTCAGCGAAGCATTCCTGGGTCAACAAATATAACGATGCGCGTTGTGGATCGGGACGTTGCTGCCGCTACTCGGGGGACCTTAGACCGGCAGCGTTAGTGTGGCTGTTGGGGCTACTGCCATTTACAATTAATTGTAAAAATTCTAAAAGTGGTCTCGTGTGACTTCGGTAATGTGCAGTGACCCACGACTCTTAATGCACCACTGGTCTACTTAAACGACAACGGTTATTTGTCCCAGCAGTCGAGTCATTATTCCCGTTCGGTGCGAGATACGCAAGACGCACCGAGATGCAGCACCGTTGCTGTCCCATCGCAAAAAATGCTTTGTCCTTTTCCACCATTATGTAAAATGGGAATTTGTTATTCACAACTTTAAAAAAAAGACATTAGCTAACAATTAAATCCTTACACTTCCCTGTCTTAATAAATGCATCTATTTTTGTTTTAGCATAAGATTGGCACAGTGCTTTGCCCGAGCGTAGATTAATTAGCTCACGAACAGTGCTCCAAAGCTGTTATATTATCATTATTATTTAATATCAGTATCTATTTGTTTGGTTGTCCTCCCAGCTTATCCCATATTGCAGCACTCAAGTCTAGCTTCAGAGGTTTTTACAAAATATATATATACACACACACACGTCGACTATATATACGCAACTCCTGTGGAAGAAATGTACTAACTAAACAAATGAACCAGCGTATATCCTTTATCAGCAAGGCAGAGCTGACATTTCAGCCTAGGGGTATTTTCAAGCTCTTACTGACTCTGGTGCCCTCAAAGATCCATGGTGGCAGGAGTAAGGCCTGATGGTTAAAGGACCTTGAGATTAGGGCAAGGGTTTTTTCAGCGATGGGGCGGCTGCCCTCACACTGCCCACTTCTTTACACAATACCACCAAATATGTGGCCATGGGTTTTTGGCTTCGGTGGCCAGTGACCAACCCATCTTGGCTTCCCTAACAAAATCCAAACAAGGCAGTTCGATTTCTTAGGAAACTTTCAGTTTTTTATTTGTGTTGTTTTTTTACTTTTTTTATTTTTGCGATCTCGCCCTTCCTCAGCGAGGCTGCCAGGAAGCTACGCTCAGGAGACGCGAGCTCTGTGCCAGCGACAACTCGGAGACGGCTCTCGCTCGGCATGCGCTCGCACGCTCACGAGTGTCATCGCCCCGCTCGCACGCTCACGAGCTTGGGCACTCACGCGCTCGTACGCTCCACACGCCAACACGCAAAAATAGCGTTCGCCACAATGGTACCACTCTCCACAACGTTAATGAAGCAGCCAGACTATTTGAGTCATCGTTGTTAGCGAGCACCTATTTAAGAAGGGCACTGTACACGAAAGGGTGACCGGCACCATGCCTTATGTGTGTCCACTGCGGAAGATACTCAAGACTGGGTTGACTAACTTCAAATACCACAAGCAAATGATGCCACCCGTGGCAATGGATGGAAGCAAGGTTGCTACGGTCCTTAAGCAGTACAGAACACACCGCCCCACGGCATCCCACGCGTTCACACAGCCGGACACCGAGCGGCGTGCGTCCCACGCTCCTCCTGGCCTCTCACTCTCTCCTCACTCATCTCACTCTCTCACCTGAGCTCTACGAGGTGATGACATCGCCCCGGCTGCTGGAGGCACAGCCCCGCGCCCGGGACGTGACGCGCACAGACGCAGCAGCGGAGGCGGCAGCAGCAGCAGCAGCAGCAGCAGGGGGGGCGGCCGGCGCCCGCGCGCACGCACGCGCACCGCGTGTGCTGCTGCTGTCGATGCAGGTGATGCTGCTGCTGCTGCTGCTGCAAGTACAAGTGCTGCTGCTGCTGCCGGTACAGCGGGTGGCGGCCGTGCGCGCAGCCCGCGGCAAAGAGCCCCGCGCCGCCGGCGCCCTGCTGCCCGTCGCCGAGCGGGGAGTGGCAGCAGCAGCGCGGCACGGCCCCGTCGGCGGGCGCCCCCCACCTGCCGCACGCCTCGCACTCGCGCGGCGGCGGCGGAGTCGTCGGCGTCGTTGTCGGCGTCGTTGTCGCCGCGCCCTTGGAAGCCGCGCCCGGCGGGTGTCCGTTGGGCACGGCGGAGGTCGGAGCCGAGCCGAGCCGGGCCTTGCACTCGGCGCAGCAGGCCACGCCGCACGTGCGGCAGCGCACGGCAGCGATCGCCGAGCCCGTCGTGCCGTGGCCGATACGACGGCGGCAAGAGCGGCACGGTGGTTGCGGCGCCGTGGCGCCATCCCGTTCCCGGGCGGGTTCCTCCGCGTCCGCGTTAGGGCCGGCGTCTCCGGAGCGCGCCGCTCCGGGCCGCGTTGTTAAAGCCCCGTGGCCGGCCTCCTCGTCGTCCGCAGGCCCCGAGCCGCCGGGCGAGACGCTCTCGCCCATGGCCTCTCGGAAAGGCTGCGGCGCAGAAAAAAAGAATGCCATGCGGACAATTACCACCGACTATAAACAAGACGAGACACCCACACAGCCACAACTCCCAACCGTGACAAAGGGCATCAATGCTTCTTAATGCCACCTTGGCGTGCCACTGCGACGGCATGGCCCGATTCCGTTTTTCCATCCAGAAAAACACTGGCTCCCAGACAACAAAGTGGAACGAGGTACAAAGAAACGAAGAGGAAAGAAAAGAGGCGTTAAGAGCAGAAGTGGCCGGTCTCGCGTTACCCCGACATGGCCCGAGCAGGAAAATAGGTCGAGCGGGGAAACCCAACACCTGATCGTCTGGGAAGCATTCTATCTCCGTCGGAGGCATTCAGTCACGCAGATAGAGCAACACGACACTCCCAGAGCACCTCGGTCCCTTGTCCTGCTGCCTCGGGTGATGGGGTGGGGGGCAGTGATTGGGAGACACGGGCAACCAAGGGGAAGAGCGGTGCGGTGCGGCTCCCAGGAGCCCAGTGGACCGTCCGGAGCTCCGCGTGTGGGTGGTTGGGGGTGGGGGTTGGGGAGGGGAAGGTCAAGGGGTGACGTCCCCGCGCCACCGCTTGCACCACCCCAGCCTGAAAATCTCTCCCACAACGCGAGGCGCACGACCGCGACGGACTCGCCAATTTGCCTGCGGTGCTCCTTAATCCAAGCGCCCTGCGACGGGACGGAGAGCCGTCGCTCAGCGCTCAAAGGAGAGGCTACACAAAGGCTTCGCACGCACACATGGGATAACAAATGCGTGGCCGTGAACAATATCAATACGGATCAATTATAGTTATGAAAATAACAGTTGCATAATGCACTGCAATAGTACAGCACAATGAAACAAAGAGACACGGTGCGTCATTGTAATGTAGCGCAATATTAATAAGATAGTGTGTTATCAAAAGCTACAATGATCACCTTTTAGTTATCGCAGAAGCTTCATTGTATTAGCATCCATTTGGGTACACAGGGTTAGTGTGGATGTAGAGTATTGTACCAAAATAATAACGGCAATGTTATTTTACACAGCATTTGAAGGGTTAAGGCCAAGCCTGACCCATTAGGAGCTGCATCGTTAGTTAAGCATCGCTCTGAATGCGCAGACAATAGCGTACGTACCCGTTTGGATCCTTAAAACAGAAATAAAAACGGAGGCAAATGAATAGACGAAGAAATCTGACCGTGAGCAAGAGTAATATTTATGTGAGGATCGAGAGGTTGGGCGCGAGAGCGAGCGCACAGAGGAGTCAATCCCTGGAGCCAATCTCTCGAGCTGCGCTGACGAGGAGCACCGAGCACTGCTGCCCGTGCCCAGCGTGCGTCTGGCACCACGACGGCTCCGCTCCGGAGAGACGCCACGCGGCTCGGCGCTCGGCCCCCCCCCCCTTTAACGGAGACCGCCGCCCATCACCCCCCCCCACACCGCTACCGCCGCCACGCTGCACCGCCCCGCCGCCCCGCCCGCACGCGGCGGCTGGAGGGGGATGCCGGCAGGAGGCCGTGCGAGTAACGCGGCGTTGAGGGGAGTGGGTGGAGAGCGACGTGAGTGGAGAGCGACGTGCGTGTGTCGCGTGCGGGCATGTGTGTGCGTGTCGGGGCACTACAAAACGAAGCCGGCGACCCGAGTTCGAATCCCACCCGCTTGTGGCCGATATCGGTGAGGAACATCTAAACCGGTCCTGGGCCTCCTCTAGGTCAACTCGACCTCAAATGAGTAGAGGTCAAGTTTATTTGTTTGACCAGGTGAGAACTTGAGAGATCAGAATAGTCTATACCTGGGGTGGGATGTAAGCATCACAACTGGCGAGACAAAAGTGGCCAGACGTGTGTCTGGCCATACCATCCCTTGTGCAATGAGCCAACCTTGTTATGTGCTCGCTAAAAGCACTTGCCCGAACAACGTGCGGAGGCTATACGGGGGATCTTCGTCTTTGTGGTTACATCTGGGTGTTGGTGCATCTGGGAAAATGTGTGGATGTGAGTTTGGGAGTGTTAGTGTCATGAGGCTGAATGCCTGGTGTGCATGTCTGTGTGTGCAAGTGTTGGTGCGCGCGTGCGTAAGTTGGCGTGCGTAAGCTGGCGTGCGTAAGTTGGCGTGCGTAAGTTGGCGTGCGTAAGTTGGCGTGCGTAAGTTGGCGTGTGTATGTTGGCGTGCGTAAGTTGGCGTGCGCAAGTTGGCGTGCGTAAGCTGGCGTGCGTAAGTTGGCGTGCGTAAGCTGGCGTGCGTAAGTTGGCGTGCGTAAGCTGGCGTGCGTAAGTTGGTGTGCGCGCATGTGCGAGTGGATGGGTGGGTCCGGTATGTGTGTTGGGTGTGGGTGGGAGAGGGGTGAGGTGTCAGGAGGGGAGGGGGGTGAAAGGGGGGGTGGGTGTTTGTGGGGTTGGCTCAGGGATGAATAAGAGCTAAGCTGCAGTGCAAACAAGATTCTCGTAAACACCCAGGAAATTTTAACCTCCTTGTGAGACATTCCAAGACAGCCAGAGACACACACTCACACACAGATGCGCACACACACAGGCGCGCAAAACTCAAAGCATTCAGCTCACATGCAGAATAGCAGGAGTTTAACTCAGGTGCTCGTGCTTGCCGTGTCAAAGTGGAGTATACCATCAAGCATGAAACTCTATGTACGCAACCTAAATCAAACCCACAGATGAGCAAAGTGCAAGGACAAAGATGTGATTAAGGCCGTCGGTCAGTATATGTATGCGCGCAGAGGAGGTGGGTGAACAAGAGTTATGATGTAACGTGCACGTTTTGCCCGCTTGTAATCCGAATGCGGGCATCTCTAGTTCAACTCGGTGCAGATGCCCACAGTGGTGTGCGTGGCAGAGATTTCAGAGAGAAGACACACGAACTCCATGTTACTCAGGTCGTAAAACAGCACGTGGACTAATATTGCTTTTAGCGATCCAACTTTGACTCACTGCAACTCAAAAATTAGACGAAAGAGCAAGCTTTGCCCAATTTACACAGTCGAAAAAAACGAGGAAGAAAATAAATGTAAGCTTTAGGAAAAAAAGCAAACAATTTAACAAATGTACTGTAATACGAAACACGCAGCCCTCTTATTTCATAACATTTGTATAATTGTATTCCGCAGGCTGGGGCCCGGCGAGCCAAACTTGCAAACAATCCTCACCGCGATTCAGGAAAGAGAGAAACACCCCAAACAAACATTAATGAGCACATTGTGTCGAAAAACAAAACAGTGACCGTTCTGAAAGCAGGGCCTCTTGTATTTATTATATCTTTGTTCCAACAAAGCTGATTAGCTGAAAGCAGGAAGCAGCTTGACAGGCTCTGGCACGGCCGAGCTCACTAATTGCTCGGCGGAGACTGCGGAGGAGAGGGCTCGCAATTGAGACGAGCCGTGCGGAGCGATCGCGGAGTGCGGAACGCCCGACACGGCCCGCACGTGGCTGTCCAGGACAGCCCAGCTCTGCGTTTAGGGCAGCAGCTGTCGCCCAGGGTTTTTCCGCAGAGTGTGGCTCGCTACTCAGGTGGCCGTTACAATAAACGTGATTCATAACACACACATAGCTCAATAATCGGACGCAATGTTTGATCGAGAACTGGGAGGTACAATAACGGCGCGGGTCTCTGTGCTACATTGTCATTCATTCTGTATTAATAATGCGATGTCACTAAATTGTCCAGGAAGGCCCCATTCAGTCTGGGCAAAGGCTTCACGACCGAGTATCCAAATTCTCTCTTCAGCAGCGTCTTGCTTTGGAAACGTGCCCAATTCCATTTTAAGGAGTTCAGTTTTTGGCTGTTCGAGGAAACAGGTATACCCGGAGAAAACTCATGCGTGCAAACGACCGGTGGAGGCTGTTAATTATTTCTAGATCGAGATGTCATCATGGGTAAAACCACCGATGCTACCACAACTCCCAAACGCCTTACGCCCCCTGCCAGGTCCCACGGCTGCTGTAGTTGACACGTGACCTCCAAACTCGGCCCTGACAGTCTCCCACCAGCTGCTCCTTGGTCACCGGACCCTTTGAGACCACTCCATTCTTTTTTGGATCAGTTCGTATGCAGGAGCGAGGTGGATTGTGTCAATACGTGACCATGAGTGTTGGGGATGACATTCAGCAGTGGATGGATAGTGGCCGATAATGACAATGAAAGTCAAGTCAAAGTTTCTCTTGCTCAGACAAGCATGGGGCAGGTCAAACAGTGAACGGTGTAGGTGATTCACGCAGGAGGAAATCAAACTGTAAAACCGCACTGTGATAATAAAACCCTCGAAAAGTAACTATTGCACAATAATAACAATGTAATAAAAATAGTA